TAACAGAAATCTTTAATTAAATCCAAAAATTCTAAAATTAAAAGGAAACACGTTGAAGAAAGAAACCGAATACATAAAGAAAATTATTCTTCAAAGATATGTGCAGTTACTATTATGTAAATTACCCAATTGTTTATCATTTCAGCCTTTACTATAACTTCCCATTTCTGTTTCCTCCTATGATAGAGTTACTGAGCCAGATTAAATTAAAATTAAATTATATTATCTTTGACCACTAGTCCACATTTTTAGTTTGAATTTGACTGTTGTTTAATTATGTCATCGTGAGCTGTAATTGACTTTGTTAGCATCAGAACATGCCTTTATGTTCTAAGATCTTTGTCTGATATTGTAGTTACTTTCAGATACAGTGATAATTTGCTTTACGTCTATCGGGGGGGGGACTATTTAACTTTTACCAGATCGAGTAAACCCTCATAGGTACATTGTGGAGAGGTTGACAAGTTAGGAGATAAAGCACACAGAAACTAGCGAGAACATTGGTTTGCATATTGAGACAAATTTCTAATTATTGTCAATAAAGATCGATAATTAAAGAGAAGGAAATCGATATAAAGTAGCCAAAATGTTTGGGAAGGCTTGTAGAGACATTAGGTATTTTTGAAAGCAGGAAAAATAAAAAATTAACAATGCCTTCGCCGGGAATCGAACCGCAGACCTCTGGAGTACACCGCTACCAGTGTACAAACCACTACACCACGAAGGGTCGCCAAGAAGGTGGGAGAAATACTTTATATACTCCCCCTTTTTAATGGGGTCTTAGGGAATCCAATCGCCAAATCCTTTGTGTGGAGAACCATCATCCAACACCCATCAAGCAACCATCAACACCATCAAGTAAAACTTATTCTTTGCATCTACTGAGACTTCTATATAAAACAACTTATCACCTCTTGTGCTTTAATGGCTTATTGGAACCTTAAAGTATATTAACTGGTTTACAACCCCTGGAACTCTACACAAAGCTATGACATTAACTGCGTTAAGCAGAGCTTGACTAACTTTCAGCACTTGCCAATGGTGCCTACATCAGGCCTTTCAGGTTTGTTCCAATCACCAGGTCTCTCTATAGACAAGCAACAGAGGGACAACATTCAGTCTTTTGTTATGAATCATGCTGATTATGCATAAGGGAGGGGTAATGAAGGGGTAAATTCTCATTTTAACCTATGCCGTTTGACATAAAATCTCCCTACTATTTGCTAAACCTCTAGACTGACCAAGTATGTGACGAAAATGAGACATTTTAAAAAAAAAAAAAAAAAGCATAAAGCTAATTATTAGTAAAACGTAAATGTCACTTACCTTCTTTTAAATATGTCCAACTATTATAAGTGTAAAATATTTAATGCTACTTGATAAACTGTATGAAGTTTACTTTATTCTCAAACTTATTAATAATTATGTTAGGTAATTCATGTTTAGTAATAATGCATACTACTTATAGATCTATTTTATTTTTAGGATGGTATTACAAAAGTGAAATTCAGGCATAGAATAATATTTTTAATCAAATTTATTGAGTTCCCATTTGCTCATAGGTCCTTAATTTTTTCATTAATGGTCCTTAAAAGTACTTAATTTTCGTGTGCAGAAATGTGTACGAACCCTGATGTATTATCACATAAAAAACGAAACAACTTACATTGAAAGAAATGTTTAATAAAATAAAATAAATATTAAGTTTTTTTTTTTTTTTGTGTGTGTGTGTGTGTGTGTAAATTTTGATACTCTTTAGATCATAATTGTTCTTTATTTCATAAATTATGGTTTCATATTTTTAATTTTATAATTTCTGCATGCCATCTTACCAGATTTAAACTGATGATCTATAATCCGGAATTGCCGAAGTCTCGACAAGTCCGGATTAACAACTTTTGACTGTATTAGCTCGCGGTCTAAAGTAAGTGTTGTCAGGATGTTTTCAAAACAAGAACAACGATGTTGGATAATAATTGAATGTGCCAGAGGTCATACAGCACAACAGTGTCATCAAGGGCTTCAAGAGGCTTGCGGGGAATCTGCATTGCCTCACAGAACCGTAGCAAGATGGGTGAAAGCATTCAATGAAGGACGCCAAAAGGTGGCAGACATGCTGCGGCCAGGTTGTCCGAGTGTCAGCGATGCAGGCGTGCAAGCTGTTGCCGCACTAATGGACAGTGATTGCTGCCAAACGATTCATCAGCTGGCCGGACAAACAGGATTAGTGCATACGACTGTGCTGCACATTCTGAAGGAACGCCTGTCCATGAGAAAAATTGCTTCACGATGGGTTTCACGTCACGCGCATGCGGAGTGACGCGAAGAACGAATCCTTGTATTAGCTCGCGGTCTAAAGTAAGTGTTGTCAGTATGTTTCGCGATGGGTTCCACATCAATTGACGGAAATGCAGAAATGGCTATGATACGATGCTGCCCAAACCCACCTGGAGCGCAATGAACATGAAGGAGATGCTTTCTTACGCCATATCATTACACTGGATGAGACTTGGGCCCGATCGTACTAGCCAGAACTGAAACGCCAATCAAATGAATGGCGTCATCACAACGTTCGAAATTTCGTCAGAACCCCAGCAGTGTGAAAGTTATGGTGATTCTCGTGTACAATTGTGATGGTGTCATCCTAACGCATACCGTTCCCCCACAGCAGACCGTCACTGCGCATTATTACTGCTAATTTTTGGAGCACAATCTTCGACCAGCTTTGAGAAAAAAACACCGACACTTTCTGCAGAACACTCCTCTCATTTTGCATGAATTTTGCTCGGTCGCATGCAGCGCAAGCTGTGACTGATTTGTTCAAGCGATAGGGCTGGGAAGTGCTTTACCATCGACCATACTCCCCAGATATAAGCCCTTGTGACTAAATTCCTAAGATGAAGGAACCACTTCGTGGCACTCACTTCCAAACTGTTCCTGAGATTCTTGCGGCAGTAGCCGGTCCATTCAAACTATCAACAAAACAGGTGCTGCTACAGGTATTCTGAGACTTCCACATCGTTGGAAACGGGTTGTACACAGTGCTGGCGGCTATATTGAAGAACTGTAAAACATTGTGACATGAATCACTTTTGTATTCCTTGTAAATTAATAGTTGCCACTATTAAAGTTCCAACCCTGGTATCACTTTATTTTACAAGTCTAGAAATCTATGTGATGATTGGCACTGCTTTTTTGATACAATTTATCAATGTTCACTGTAGCTTCAGTAAGGCAAAGTCTTGAGCTCCGATTCCAGTGAAGCACTTTCAGTGCGATCTCTTGTTTTTGATTTAATTTGCTTGAGAGCGAAAAAGCACATTCACACACATATGTACTGCCAAACGGCAATAACATTTGCAAAGCGAATTTATGCAGTTTAGGAAAACTTTCTTTTAGAAATCAGTTTCCAGAAATGTTCAGTGACATCACACATTTTAGTCTAGTAGAATGGATCTGCCTGAAGATCATAAATTTCCATTTGAAGGCTGCAAGGCACCAACCACACTTACTTCAATCTCCGTGGGGTTGTTTAGCAGTGAAAGTTTTGTTTTGGGGGAGTTGGAATCTGTCCTGGAACTCTTTCTTGATATTAGAAATTATTTCATGAAGGATGCTAAAATTTGTGCCATTTTCTTCTTGCTGACAAAATGGGAAGTATCCATATTATTTGTCTTCTGTGCAGTTAGCTTTACATTAAGTTTTTTGGTGTTGCTGTTGGTGTATTTAATTATGGCAAAGCACACGAGGGCTATCTACCTAAGGAAAGGGATGCCTTCGTAGAGGACTTTCTAAGGGAAACTGGCTCGTATACACGTTACACATGGGGAAAACCACGAAAACACCCATGCAGCCAGCCCGTTCGCGGGATTCGAACCTCGAACCGAACTACCAGTGTTCAGCGACTTAACCGCTCGGCCACTGGTGGGCTCATTAAGTTTTTTGAGAATAACTTTACTTCCATCTGTTGCAATGCCAGAGCATTTCATGAAACCTTCATATTTAGAAAGGGCATTATCCAGTGCTTTCAATATATCGATACCTTTGGTGCGAGTTTCTAACGATTTTAATTCTAACAGTTCTTGAATTTCAAATTCTTCATTTATTGTTTTGACAAAGATAAGGAGCTGGCTGATGTCAGCTATATCTGTGCTGACATCTAGAGCTAAAGAGTAAAATTAACATTTTTCCAAAATGCCATTGAGAGTATCTGAAACTTCACTACCCATATAATTAATTCTTCTATTTACTATCTGATGGGACAAGGACACTGTTTTAAAATATTCAGCTATTTTATTGTGCCCAAATGAAGATACCATTTTTATAGCACATCTTTTAATAAACTCGCCATCCCGTAAAGATTTTTACTTTATAATTACTTTTTACTTTACAATTTATTCTGTTTATTATTATTTTAAGCAGTAAGAAGGATCTTTTGTTTTTCTAAATGTTTAACTAAATTTTTTTCTCAGTAAAAAGGGCAAGTGCCAACAAAATGAATAAGAGGGCCACATGCGGGTCGGACCACACTGGTCTAATCTATATGTTGGAAAAATAGAAAATCTCATGCCAATAGAGTGTTTTTAATGGGAACACATCACAAGGTAAAATTTATGGTACAAAAATGATAGCTAGTGAATTGAAAGCAACCATTTAAAGAGAATACATCAAAATGACAAATAGAATTGGGTGTTGCAGTTGCATTGGTCTGCATTTCAGCATGTGTGAATCAGCAGAGTATTGGTCAGTTCAAGAACTTGCTGCAATTTATGAAGATTTGCATTTGTATTCTTTTCTTTAATCATGAAGCATTCCATCATCGTGAAATAAATATTTTGTTAGATATTTTATACTCTTGTTGGATGTATATGTATTTGTACTTTTTACAACTTTCTTTTATCATCCTAAATATGAATTTGTTGCATAAATCTGTAGAAATTTCCTTCTATCTATAATAATGCATGATTGTTAAATTTTGTGATTTAAATGTCTTTCTCTAGGATGCAGAAGAATCAGAAGGAGAAGATGATGGAGAATTGGAGGATGCGGCTCCTGAGGAAGATTCAATGTTAATGGGCCAGACAGAAGAAGAACCAAATGTATTTAACTATATATATATATATATTTATCTTTTTTGTTAGGTAGTTTATTATTGAAAAAAAATGTTAGATATTAGTTATCCTGCCACCATTTTCTTTATGGTAATTTTAGTGCCAGCACATCTGCAGTGACATTTTAACACTCATATGTTTCTTATCTTAGTTGTAGAAGTATTTTCCCTTTTGTCTGTTTTGCTAGGCAGCAGTCGTATTTTTTCTTCTAATCTTTCAATAACTAGCTTTTTCTTTTTTTTTTAAATTGTAGTATTTCTAATTGTAGTAGCAATGCATATTTTAATTATGATAAGTAAATATAGAGTATTTGTCTCGAATGAAGCCAGAAGCTGGCTCTAGCTAAAGAAACACAGATAAGGGTTACCAAAATGTCATTCATAATGTTTTGTTGTCTAGGGCAGGGGGTTCCTAACTGGTGCTATGCAAAGTATTTTTAACAATTAAATTTAAAAATTAAAACCCCACTCTAACACACTCTTTTTTCTCTAACACTCGTAAATTTATGCGATCTGAGCTTTGTTAAAGAGTGTTGGTGGTGGTACTAAAGGTTTTCAGTTTGTGCTTAGATCGCATGCATTAGTCAAAAGGTTGAGAACCGCTGGTCTAGGGTATATAAACTGATATAATTGATAAGTACTAAATGTAACTAACTTAGACTGCTGTTTAATTTATTTGTATATGTTGTATTTATGAAGTCTGCTGTAATTTTATTGTTAACAAAAGATCGTATTATAACCTGGACTACATTTGTAGGAGTCCAAAATTCCGTAATTTTGTTCTCGAAATTTCATTTAGCAATAGCTGAATGTTCCCCTCCCCTATTGATTTCAAAGAATAGTATGACTATTAATTTATTATTCCTTATTTTATATTTCAAAGTATTATTTATGTTAAAACTTTCTGAGTTTTGAAATTGAATAACCGTATGCTCTTGGTTATTTGGTTACAGATTATCTGTGTGACGTTACCCACACACACACTCACACTCAGTGCTATACATGAGACGTGTAAAAAAGCAAACATTTGCAAGTCCGAGCATGCTTCCTAATATAGAAATTGGAAATGTATTTAATTGGGAAGAAATTGAGGTAGTAACTAAAGTTCCATATCAATAAGAAAATGTTAATTGGGAAAACATTGAGGAATTTTTTGATTAAGCCATGCTTTTGATGCTTGAGTGATGTGTATATTGTTTCAAATGTCACAAGAACGAAAAGGGCAGAGAATTTTACGGCATAACTTGGCACGTTCCGTAAATTTCCCATCTCACCTTTGAATAAATGGTGTTCTTTTGGGAGGGGTAACCTTATTTGGCATTGAAACATCTGCATTCTGCACTGCTTGTGTGTTTAAATTATTCAGTTACAAGGCAAGATGGGTTTGTCAATTTTATGAATGATTAGCTTCTGCATAAGTTATAATTTTGAAATTTGTCTCAATTGTTCTGTAAAAAAAATTTACTTGTCTGCCAGATACATGATTGACACTATTCCTTATATTGGGAAATCTGCAAATACTGAAGGTCTCCCATTAGCTGAATATTTTGTAAAAGAGTTAATCAAGTCTGTACATGGATCATATCATAATATAATCATGGATAATTGGTTTACTTTTGTTTCAGTGGTCACTGAGCTTTTGAAGCTATCTTTTAAACTTACCATGGTTAGAACTTTAAAAAAGAACCAGTGAGAAGTTCTAGATGAATGTTTGAATGCAAAAGATAGAAAAGTGGGCATATCTTTCATTTCTTGTTCTCCTTCGATAGCAGAATAGTTTTCAAGCCCAAGCCAAGCAAAGTAGTTTTACTTCTTCAATAACACATAGTGATAAAGTCATATATGCAGAAAGTAAAAATACTTTTATAATTCTACAAATGATGCCATAGACACTTTTGATCAGATGCAGCCAGATGTCTTGCAGTCAAAAGATCAAGGAGTTGGCATCTTGGTATTATTTAGGGAATTTCAAATACAGCTTTAAAAAGTTCCTATGTTATTTATTCTATTCGTAAGTCAATGTATTGTAAGTTATAAAATAAATAATCACCACTAATCCTCAAAGTAATCACCATCAGCATCCAGTGTGTTTTGCTAACGAGTGGCCAGCTGTGCGATGCCATCACGGTAAAACTCGGGAGTCTTGGATGCAAAGAAGTCTGTAAGGGCTTTTTCGCCCTTAACTTTTATAAATTAGGGTCTGGCTGGTTGTTGAAGGATTTCCCACGAAGGTGGTTTTCCAGGGAATGGAAAAGGTGGTAGTCTGTTGTCATGACATTTGAGGAGTATGGTGGATGGAGTAGTGTCACCTAGCCCAGTCGCTAGATAGTGTCCCTGGCCTCCAGATCCACATTGTGGCCTTGCATTGTCATGGAGGAGGAGTACACCCTTATGAATTGACCAATGTTGGCTCTATATGCCTCAGTTCCTGATGCACATGTTTCAACTGCTGCGACTTCCAGCTTGCCGTGATGGTTTAGCCCACTGGCAGGAGCTCATAATACATTACTTGGCGACTAGTCCATCAGATACGGTACATGATGTTGTGTGGGTGGAGAGAAGGTCTCGCAGTGTGAGGCATAGGGTCCTGTGGTGACAACCATTGTCTGGAATGCCTGGGTGTGTGGGTGTGTTATACTGGGCCCACTTTTCATTCCTGGTGAGTATCCGATCAAATATTGATGCATTGTGGTGCCGAGTAGGCAATGGCAAACAGGCTGCGACATGTTGTTACTTGTTTGCATCGAACAGTGAGTGGGGTACCCACTTGCTCAGCTTGTATGCCTTTCCTATGCTGTGCAAATGGAGTCTGTTCATTTCACCTGGAGGTGTGCAAGCTCACCACATGTTTGACTAGACTACTTTCACTCTCTATGGCTGCTCTCAGGGCCTCATAGTCCAGCACTTGTGGCCGACTGCTGCAGGGTGCATCACTAAGAGACATATCCCCTGATCTGAACTTCTGGAACCATTCCCTAGAGGTTTGTTCATTAATGGCATCAACCCCAAAGCTCTGGCAAATTCGGCGACTTCATTCTGCTGCTTACAGACCCACTTTAAAATCATACAGCAAACAACTTCGAATGAGCACCTTTGATGCGTCCATTTCAATCAGTCGCTGTGTAATGCATTTTTATACTATTGGTCAATGTTCGGTCTCCCATCCTAACCACTTCATCGCCAACTTTGGCGACTATTTTTATGTTGGGGTTCATTCTTCCAATGTCCTATCAGGAATGGCGGCAAATACTGTAATTTTTTTGGAGGTGGGGTAATGCTTCTAAAAAAAATTGTAAAATATTCCGTGGTTAATCTTTGGATTATGGTAACTTGGCGATTTCGTGGTGAAAATTTGGCAACCAAATAGGTGATATGAGAACTGGAATAAGTAAAATTTGAAAATTTATAAAAGTTAAGGGCTTATCACATTTCAACGAATAGTTATGATTCATAATTTGAAGAGTGTTAGTTTTCATCTACTTTCAACTTTTGAGTCATATGTATGTGAAAATTATAAAGGAAAAATTTTCTCACATATGATAGCTGCTTTAAATCTGCAAAGGTGTTGCCTAATATTGTTAGGAGTATGTGAAACTGAAAGGGTCTACCTCATATTAAAAAATTAACTGGAGAAATGTCACACTAATTTATTAAATCATAAGCAATAATTGTATTAAATTTTAATAACAATGGCTTGTTTGATGTATTTGTTTTGTCTTTCAAACAAACAGATTTTTAACAAAATTGGACACTACTTCCTTAAAGTGGGAAAGACTGCATGTTTCAGATTGTGCCATTAAGTTTGCCAGTCTGGCAATTAATTGCTGTGGCTGCTTTGTTAAAGAATTACCAATTGGATTTCTTATTAAAATTTTAAAAAAGATGTATTTAGAATTTAGCTTTTGTGAAAGGAAGTTTATTTTTATGTGTTCTTACGTGCATTAACATTCTAATTAATTAGCAAGATGTTACTAACATTTTTTAGTTTGATAATGTAATTTTGAAGCAGGATATGTAATTTATTGAAAAATTTAATAAATTTCTTTTCTAAATTAAAATGAAGCTTTGTATGTATATATCTGAACTTTAAAAAAGTGTGAAGATTCACTTAAAAATATGCAAGAAAACCTACAAAGTATTTGGATGCAGAGAGGAGCTTTTAATTGTTCATTATATTTCATCTTTAAATCTGTAATAACAGATACTGATTACATATGTGTAAATAAATTGTATTAAACTCTTCCCTTAAGGTTATGATATTTAAAGGGAAAAAAAATTATATCTTGTTAGTAATCATTGGCAATGTCTATTATTTGATTGACTGGGATCGAATGAAAAAATTCACCTTCATCACTTCACTATAGATATGCTGTGTAAACAAATCTAGTTTTTATATTTACTATACTTAGTAATTTGAATTGTGTAATGAGAATTGATAACAGAAGACTCACTGCCTGTATAATTTTTAATTATAACTTCAATGAGAATAAATGAATAAACGTACAACTTAACTGTAAGAATATATGATTTTCATACAGATATGTTATTGTAATTTATAACTTGTATAAAGTTGGTCCCAGAGATCCAAGTACCGCGTTTTACCTAATGACCGTTTCTGTTTACTCGGTGAATATTGTGTACTCGTGTATTTCCATGTTTTATCATAAAATGAAATTATGAATCATGTATTAAATAACGGAAATTATATTTGAAAAATCCTCATAAAAGTATAAATTTTTATTTTTGGATCCATTGGACCCAATCGTTCCATTTTAAAATTTTCCCTCGTGCTAATTAAAAATTTTTAAAAAATTGTTAATCACAATTTCTGTATTACTTTTAAATTGAACTGCTAATAAGTTTATTTTTAATGGGAATGTGCTCAATTAATTCAGTATTCTTTGCAGGATTTAATTGAATGCTTCAAGAAAGATGATAAGGAATTTGATACAAGAGTGGTAAGGAAATAATTCATTTTCTTTTATTAGTTATGATTTGAAGCATATTTCTTGAAATCATAAATGTACTTTTTAAAAGTATATTTTTATATGACATAAAAAGGTGTGATAAGTGATAATTTGCTTGTGTTGATTCTGTTACCCATTTTTTTAATAGTTAGGTAATGGCACTGATCATCACTAATGAATTTGTAGACACTTGACCAAATACTCGATTAACTTTTTTTACACGTACAAAAAAGGAGGGCAGATAAGTGGGCTGGAAAATTGCTATATTTATACGTAATCTACTCTTTTTTATCTAAATTAGGATGTGCTTTGTTCATAAAATAATGACTAATAGTAAAGCAGTTTATTGTCAGTTGTCTTTACTTGCCTAAATGCTATAAAAACTTTGATCAGTAACTTCATTTGAAATTGAGAGCTATTATTTTGTTCTTCACTTAAAACTACAATGTCATTACTAGCATCATGCCAGTCTTTTCTGTCAGATGATAGGAAATATACTGCATTGTCTCCTAGCCTGTCCATTGAATTAGAAATGAGCAAAACTTGGAAATTTCTGAAATTTCTGGACACCGTTTCTTTTGATATTGCTTTCCAAAGCTACAATCTTATTCACATATTTTACAATGAGTTTTCTTCTTCCTCACTCCATTCCTTAATGATGTAAAAAAGCATATCCAGCAAATAGTCAGGAGCTCCTGAATTTAAATTACTGTGAAGGCATCACTGGTTTTATGTTTCCATCTTCAAAAAAAAAATTCTAAATTGCTCTCTCTCATATCCCCTGATCTGAACTTCTGGAACCATTCCCTAGAGGTTTGTTCGTTAACGGCATCAACCCCAAAGCTCTGGCAAATTCGGCAACTTCATTCTGCTGCTTACAGGCACACAACTAAAATGGGTTGTACAATAATTTGTCAGAACCTCGATTTGGTAGCATGTTTCTTCTCATCCTCACCCTATAAAGCAACAGAGAATGTGAAGCATGTTCTCACTCTTTGCCATGTACCTTTGTTGAGTAATTGGAAGCACGTCCAGAGTTCAGAACCTGGTGAGTGAATTGCTTTTTTCTTGTTTTCTGCTCCAAATAAATTCCTGATCATACTGTAATTTAAGATGCAAACAATGTGTTTCTTTTTGAGGCAGTCAGCAGCATCTCCATAGAACTGGACTTCTATTCATAGTACAAGTGACATAGAAACATAGTAGAATACTGAACCTAAAAGAAATTGTTGTTGGGAACATGAAGTGGTAGCAGCATTCCAGACATTCCCTCCTGGTGACACAATAATGTCACATTTATTCTCTATTATCATTTTCATTCTTTTGGTCAGATAGTATCCTCTGAAGCTTTCAGTAACCAGCATTGATTGATAGCAGTGTAACAGTGTATATCGATACCAAAATCATAGTGATATCTGTCGACTCGTGTGGAATTTTGCCATGCAGCCTTGATCTCAGACTTTTACCAGTATTCCAGAGACTGAAGGGGGTTCTTCTTCCCCCAGTTAAGACTTTTATGCTTTAAAAATTATATAAGATAGCAGCCTTTTTTTGCACACTATTATGGTACAAAGTTGCTTGCATAAGACCTGTTTTTTCACATGCCTAATTACTTTATGTATCTAAGAAGACAACAATTTCATCACTGTGTATATTACCTCCAAGTCACTGCCATGCATCTGTCTTAAGAGGGGATATGTAAGCATATGTTTTGAAAAGTAAGTAGTTTCTTTTGGTATCTATCAGAAAGCTGTCATGCATTGAAGTTCAACACTGATTTGTGGGCTAATATTGGTCCACAAATTGCTTTACCGAGCCATAACTTCTTTTCAATCCACTTTTGTATTAATATTCATGTTTTAAACATAGTAATCTTCATATAGATGCATTAATTTTCACTGACTAAAAATACTGTAAATGAAGAACTGTGAGGAATATGTAATTGCATGAACCATTAAATTTGAAATTTTATTGTATAAAGTTCTTATTGACTAGTGATTTTCGTACACATTAATGTTTTGTCTCCACATTCACATATAACATCTAATCTTAACCGAGGCAGCGTGTAAAAAAAAAGAGAGAAAAAACAGTCTCTTTCTCAGTTTTAGCTTAAATTCCCTTTAACAAAGTCATGAGATATTATTGCAAATATATTGCATTGTGTGAATGTTAGAATTTCATGGAATTGGGGAAATTTTTCATTTACTTCACTGTTTTCTTATGCTCTCTTATAATACAGTACAAAGTCCATAATCCAGACTCGTCGGTACTTCAGCGATTCCGGATTATAGATCATCAATTTAAATCTGGTAAGATGGCATGCAGAAATTATACAATTAAAAATATAAAACCGTAATTTATGAAATAAAGAGCAATTATGATCTAAAGGGTATCAAAATTTACAAAAAAAAAAAAAAAGCTTGATATTTATTTGTTTACTTTATTAAATATTTTTTTCAATGTAAGTTGTTTAAGTTGCTTCGTTGTTTTGTGCTAAATGCGCATGTGTAAAGCATACAAAAAAAAAAAGTTTGTGGCTTTGAGGTCCGGATAATGGACATCCGGATTACAGACTTTGTACTGTAGTAAACAAAATGTAATCATATTTAGTGAATATTGTTTTGCTGCACAAAAATGAAATGCTTTGAAATTATTTGCAGATTATTTTATTGTAATACGAGGGCCATCCAGGAAGTAGATTACGTTTCCGTCTGTGTCCGCTAGGGGCGGGGCTAGCGCGGCCATCTTGGGGTCAGAGCGTTGCGCAGCTCAGTCTGCATCTAGCCGTGCTAGTGAGAGGTTCGTGCTGTGCTCCGTTCAGATACTGTGACGGTTTGAAATGTCTGCGTTAATTGAAAATCCCGCGAGGTGCGCTCAGTAATAAGGTTTCTGACTGCAAAAAACTGTAAACCGATAGAAATCTATCGGCAGCTTCGTGAAGTGTATGGGGACAACATTATCACTGAAGGTGGAGTGCGTCAGTGGGTCATAAGATTTCAAAATGGCCGAACCAATGTTCACGACGAAGATCGAAGTGGGAGACCCAGCATAGTGACCGCCGCCGAACTTCTCGAAAAAGTCGATGCTAAAGTCCGTGAAAATCGAAATTTCACAATAACGGAACTTTCTTTGAGTTTTCCTCCACAAATTTCACGAAGTTTGTTGCACGAAATCATCAGCGAAAAGCTTGGTTACCACAAGTTTTTGTGCAAGATGGATTCCAAAAATCTTGACAGAGGACCACAAAAATCAGCGAATGGCTGCAGCGTTGAACTTTTTGGACGCTTACCATAAGGATGGTGACTCTTTACTCGATCGCATCGTTACTGGTGACGAAACATGGGTGAAACATGTGAACTGTGAAACGAAATTGCAATCAATGCAGTGGGGGCACACAAGTTCTCCCCAAAAACCCAAGAAATGCATGCAAACAATGTCGGCAAGGAAGATGATGGCGACTGTTTTTTGGGACAGAAAAGGTGTAATTTTGGTGGACTTCCTGGAAAGAGGCACTACAATAAACTCTCAAAGGTATTGCCAAACTCTCCAAAAGCTCAGAAGAGCAATTCAAAACAAGCGCAGAGGAATGTTGAGCTCTAAGATCTTGTTGATTCACGACAACGCCCGGCCCCACACGGCAAATGTCACTCGTAAAGTTCTTGAATCTTTTAAGTGGGAGTTGTTTCCTCATCCGCCGTACAGTCCCGACCTGGCACCGAGCGACTTCCACCACCTATTCCCAGCAATGAAGAAGTGCTGGCTATGCAGCGTTTTGATGACGACGCACAGCTGCAAGAAGAGGTAACGAAGTGGTTGAAGGCGCAGGCGACCGAATTTTTCGACGAAGGAATTTCCAAGCTCGTACATCGCTACGATAAATGCCTTAATTTGTATGGTGACTATGTAGAAAAGTAGTATTTGAGTGTGGCTTTCATCTGTATATAATAAAATTTGTTTCCTATACTTTGTTTATTTTTTTATTCCAAAACGTAATCTACTTTCTGGATAGCCCTCGTATACTTGCTAATAAATTTGCAATAATTTTGTTTTCATTAGTCATTAAGTATTTTACTTTATTTTGTGTGATTTTGTATTTAGCAATACTGGTTAATTATAAGAAAATATATATTCAGTTTTGATGTATGTTCACAGGAGTCGGATCGATCCCGAAGATTTGATTTTCTTCTTCAACAAACAGAAATTTTTTCTCATTTTATGACAAGTGGTGCTAATATGAAAGGTGGGTCTCCTGTGAAACTAAAGCCTGGTCGACCTAAGTTAAAGAAAAATGATGAAAAGGCTAAATTGTCAGCTGTTGGAGAGTAAGTAAAAATTTGGATCTTTTTTAGTATATTTTTTCATATCTTTCATTTATTGAGTACTTTATTCATTGTGGATTATATTTTAGTCATCGTCATCGTATGACTGAGCAAGAAGAAGATGAAGAATTGCTATCAGAAAGTAGGAAGAGTTCAAAGATTGTTACACGTTTTGAAGCATCTCCTCATTGTAAGTTAAGCATATATAGCAAACTAAATAAAAAATTACAGATTTTTTATATTTAAGGAATATTTTGTGAATATTTAACATAATCTGAGTATTCATTAATACAGTGTATTATAAAATAGGCTTTTAAATTTTCGCCTTTTCTGGTATTTTAAATTTATTTTGTAATTTGTGTTCATTTTACAAATTAAAATTTTTATATACCTACTTTATCTTTTAAATTATAGTTGGAAATTGTTTTTCTAAGTAAAATTCAACATTCATTTTAATTTTAAAGGCTGCTTTGTGTTAATCTCAGCTTATTTTAATCGATCATAGCATTCAAATTTGATGTGTTTGCATCGAGATTAGTTCACTTAAAATCAATATTTCTCTGTTTTCTAAAATGATTATATGAATATTTTCTTAAAACCTGTATTTTCATTTCCAAGGAATCATGCCAGATTCAGTTATATTAAAAAATAGTGGCATACTACTTAGTACTTTCTTAATAATAATTAATATTGAGCTTTAGCTAGCTCAACCATCAGAAAGTGATGTGGTCCAGTTTAAATAACTAATAAAATTCTTCATCTCTGCATCACATTAATTTTAAATGCAAAAATGTAATGCATTTCAAAAGACAAATATAAGCTCATCTTTTTTCCAAAAACGAATTAATCTGTGCATTATTATTATTATTATTATTATTATTGTTTTTAGTTTATTTGTGTTGGATACAATAGAGAAATATAAATTTGGGTCAGAGGGAGGGGGAATTAAGAAAAGGCATTTATAAATCAGTTTGAATTGTAAGAATTGAAATTTAAATTGTTCATTCAAATCAGTCCTAACAATAACATGTTGCATAAGAGTTTAAATACTTTTTATATGTACAAGGTGTACAAGTATGAAATGCAGATTTTTCCCAAGAAAACTTGTTAAATTCGGAAGAATGATAAAAAATGCTTTATTCAAAATATGCTTCATCGCTTGTTATACATTTTTCCAGCAGTTTGTGAATACCACACCAGTAAAAATCATCCATTTTTGCTGCAAACCATTCATCAAGCCATATTTTCACATCTTACAAACCAAATCACTGCTCAGTAAGTGCTCACCCATCGATGCATACAAGTGATAATGAGGGAGTCAATTCTGGTGAGTAAGCCACATAGGGTAGAGCTTCCCAGCTGAGTGCTTCCAACATGTCATGAACCAGTTTTGTCATATGTGATGGAGCATTGTTATGAAGAAAAATAACTTTGTGTTGCCTTTCATCGGCACTTTTTTTTTTTTTTTTTTTTTTTTTCAAGCATTGAATTGTTCAGATCGGTCAGTTGTTATTAGTACCGTTTAGTATTAACCGTTTAAGTCCGGCGAAGCGATATCGCGCTTCACTTGTCGTATGCCAAAAATATGCCGCAGCGCAATAGCGCTTCTCTTGCTTTGTACCGAGAATGCGAAGACGCTGCTGTTGGTTAGTATACTTTACGCACTTATTGAGAGCAGTTGTAGTGATATCAGTAGCAGTTGTTTTATAGGAATTGGAAATTGTTTTCATCTTTTTACCAAGTGTTATACTGATAATTATGAAATAACCCATGTCAAGTTCTGATTCATTTGAAAGTGACTATGTTATGAGAAGTGATAATGAAGAGTATAGTAATGACCTTGAAAGTGATAGTGGAAGTAACATCATCATTCGTTCTAAGAGATTACGAGTTATTAGTGATAGCAGTGACGATGATGATGAAGTAACTGCAAGTACCTCCGATGATGATATTATTGATGAGTTTTTACTCATGGACACGATTTTTTCGAACGAATCGAATACTTTTTCCGAAGTACCTGGACCAAAGCATGCCCCTCCTCCTGATGCGAAACCAATTAAATATTTCAATAATTTTGTCAAGTATACTAACCATCAGCAGTGTCTTCGCATTCTCGATACAAAACAAGAGAGGCGCTATAGCGCTGCGCCGTATTTTTGGCATACGACAAGTGAAGCGCGCGCTGGACTCAAACAGTTAATTGTTTCCCCAGGTTTTAACACCTCATAATAGGCCCTGCCCCTTTCCGGCAAAGCGATTCAGTCTTGCTGTCGACGTGGATAGTGCGCCTGGGTCTACCCATGATTTTTCACACTTGGGATTCTAAAAATAAATCCACTTTACATCCTCTGTAACTATACAATGCAAGAACAGCTTCCTTTCATACCAAGCAAGCTAAATGCCACATGTACTTTTGTGTTTTTCCATTTGCCTGTCATTCATTTGATGTAGTACCCATCTACCAGTCTTCTGAATCTTTCCCATCTCTCATAGCTGATTGGAAACAGCTTGTTGACTAATGCCTGATTGTTCCACGAGTGGTTTTTGTGTTTGCGAATCATTCTTCCTTCAACAATGCATGCAATTCCGCATCTTCGTATTTGTTTGGTGGTTTTCCACATTCCTTGTCTGTGACATCGAAATCACTACTTTTGAAACGTCGAAACCATTGTTCACTCATGTCTTGCAATGGAGTATGTTCATCATAAGTAAATGATATGATACAGCAGCAGTTTTTGTCAAATGAAAATAAAAAATTAATGCTGTCCATGAATGTCTTTGTTCAGTACAAATTTCGACATGTTGAACACAACACTATGGACACACTTTTCCCAATTTATCACTCATGCATGTCTGACACTTATTAATGACACAACAAAAGGGTGCAGTGTCAAATCCGTATAGCACAAACTGCATTGGTGTGTCATCTGTTGTTTGAAATCTGCATTTCATACTTGTTCACCTGGTATATTCATGATGAAGAGTACTTTCATTTTACAGTTTAGGTATTACAGTCATTGTAACTGCTAGTTTAACTTTCTTACTGCAGAATTTATATCTAGATTAATATCAATTTGTTCCTAGTAATGTGTGACAATTTAAGTTATCATATGTTTGCAATATTGTGAGTATGCTTTATGAATGTTGCCAATTAGTAGAAATTTGTAAAATTTTAAAAATCCAGTTGATGGTCTGGCAAAATTATTTGATACTCATATTGTGAGTAATTTTTTTAATAGCAAGTAATTATAGAATATAGAAATTTAATCAAGCACATTAATAACAATTTTTAGTGAGTAATTTCAGAATTGATTGGTTATTATAAAGGCATAAATATTTAAAAATAAACCAGTTATGTAAATTACTACTATAGCAAAGAAATGCGAGATTAAATTTAGACAGGGCAGTTGATCTATTATATTTTATTCTCCTTGATTTTGTATTTATTTTATTTTTTAGACATTGTGGGAGGTGAATTACGTGATTACCAAATTCGGGGTTTAAATTGGATGATCTCACTATATGAACATGGCATTAATGGTATTTTAGCTGATGAGATGGTAAGCCAGGATTTCGTACAATATTTATTTGCCTTATTAAAATATGTAATTACAGCAGATTAAGACTGTTATTTTGTTATGTTTCTTATGCGGACTTTATTACCTTTTTTATAGGGTTTAGGTAAAACTTTGCAAACTATCTCCCTTCTTGGTTATATGAAGCATTATAGAAACACACCAGGTCCTCACATGGTTATTGTTCCAAAATCAACTCTTGCAAATTGGCGAAATGAGTTTGAAAGATGGTGTCCGTCAATTCGGGCTGTTTGTCTTATTGGGGATCAAGCTACAAGAGTAAGTTTTTAATTTTTGTAAATTATTTTTAACTGATGATTTTCTTTCATTGAAATATTGATCATCACTATATGCAAAATTAGTATGTTGGCATTTAAATTGTAACAGTATCAAAACTTGTAGTCCCCCCTTCCTGTTGCTGCTTTAATCAGCAGCAGAAAAATCTGTAATGTTTTTTTTTTTTTTTTTTTTTTTTTTTTTTTGTAATACTCCCTTCATTTAAAAACTAACCAGTTTTTATTATTATTTTTTAATGGGCAGTGGTTTCAAAATGAATTAAAATTTACCTGTTCAGTAAAGCTGAATGGATCGTGAATTTTTTTATTTAACATTTTTTGAAAGTTTGTAACTTTAAAAAATTTTTAATAAAAAAAGTTTGGGCTTTTAAAAATTCAGTTTTTAAATAAAATTTAATGGCAAATTAAATGCATTATAAGAAATTTAATTAAAGTTGTTGCCACGATCTAGTGAGAAATTTATGCCCATATTGTGTTCTACTTGAGTTTTCTTTGCAGTTCAGATATCAGTCAACTCAGAATTAAAATATTTAGTACATAATACAGTTAAATCCTGTTATAAAAAACGTCAAGGGGGCGGTTGTATAATTTGCTTTATACAGTGATTAAGTGATCCCATAAGAAATCTACTATATATTATAAAAATATTTTCCTCGCAAAAATGTACTAACATGTCACGTCTTAAAAAAAAGTTAAATATTTTTTTAAATGGTTATTTGAAGGGTTAGTTACTACGATGTGCAATTTTTCAATCTATTTTTCATTCTTTAGTTTAACTGTATGTTTATATTTTATACTTTAAATTTCTTGGCAAAAGTCATACATTAGGTTTTTATTTTTTTCCAAAATGCATATCTTTCTCTAAAATACACATTTATGTTTATGAAGGATCATTTTCATGACAGTATAATCACCTAAAATATGCTTATTATGTGTCTTGATTTTCCAAGTATTTTGTGTTACATCTGCCTCAGATAGATTTTGTTTAAAATGTAGAAAAATGTGAGGGTGAAGATGAAATACAGTAGTTCAAATGTGGTTTTTTGGGGGGAGAGGTTATCCCAGTAACTCAAATATAGAGAATTTTGATAATCATCAATTGTACTGTTCAAATTTGCAATAGTTATAGAGAAAATTGCAAAAAAATACTAAAAAGTTTTATTTGAAGATTTGCATGAAGTTTGTTTTATCTGATTTTTTACATGTTTGGAAATGTGCTGTATAAAATAGCATTAAGTGTACAGCAAACTAAATTAAGCCAAAGAGTTCATTCGTTAAAAATTGAGTTCTCTTTAGCAAGGTTTGACTGTACATAAGTAAAAGTGTAATGAGATAGAAATTCAAAATAAATTGATTATCTCTATTGACTGTCAATCCATTAATTTATGTAAAAAGTAATAATAGTTACTTTTATCATATTAAGGTTTCTTTTATTTTTCCAGAATGCTTTCATAAGAGATATTCTGATGCCCGGTGAATGGGATGTGTGCATTACATCATATGAAATGATCATCAGAGAAAAATCAACACTTAAGAAGTTTAACTGGAGGTATATTGTTATTGATGAAGCCCACAGAATCAAAAACGAGAAATCAAAGGTATTTTTTAGTCTTTATTTATTTTACAAAATATATTTGTATTATCCACTACTGTTCATTACATTGTGGTGTATTTGCAGCTTTCAGAAATTGTACGCGAGTTCAAATCGACAAATCGTCTCTTGTTGACTGGAACTCCTCTCCAAAATAACTTGCATGAACTTTGGGCTCTCTTGAACTTCTTACTTCCTGATGTATTTAACTCATCTGAGGTAAGTTGTAATACTGGTATTTATGCTGTTGTTTTAAAATATTTGTCTATCACTAAGAATCTGCTCATATAGGATTAACTGACATTTAGAATTAACCTGTACTATCTTGGACAGCAGATTATGTCTGAGCTATATCTTTATTGTCTAGAATTTTTAAAGAAGTGGCTATAAAAGTTGAAGTAGAAAATGTTGTATAAAAGGGAAGAAAAAATGAAACTTTAATGTTGTTTCTGCTGGAATGTAGATATTTTAGGATAAAATCAAATAATGTTTTTATGTTAACACATTTTTGCATCATCTGCATCTTCACAAAAAAAACTCATCTGAAAAATACAGTCTAATTTTTTTATGTTTTGATCATGTTCTTTGTTGTCATTTTTCATATCACCTTTCTATTTTTCACTCTAACTTAAAAGCCTTTAAGCTTTCTTCTTAATTCTCAAATTATTTTTTTATAAAGTGCTGTGTATTAGTTTTGCTACTTATGGTAATCTTGTATTAATTGAAAGACTAACCAAGCAAATGTTCTGTCACTATAAGTGTACTCTTTATGAATGTGGAGCATTTAGCAATATGAATTCTTTTAGTTAACCTAAAGCAAGCTGAAAAATACAGTGAAATGTTGCATGGAAACTATCAAAAGTGATTTATATATTTGAAATTAGAGTACACTTATTTTAACCCTCCAAGCAACAAGGATTTCATTCCGAATTCCTAAATTTTTCGGAGAGGCCTTGAGTAAAAGTTATTTTCTTGGGTAAAATTCCCAAAAGACACTCCTAAATTTGTACCTTAACTCTATTTTTCAATATATATTGTTACTTTAATTGTGTAGGCACATTTCAAGTTATCGCTTTAACAGGAGCTTTCACTTTTGCAGTCGCATACGACTGTGCTTAGCTGATAATTGCTTCTTTCTCTCCCCTCTTAAAAGGGCAACTATTAACTCTTTTCACACTTCACTAAAAGGTGCTTTCTTCTTGGCCTTTAAAAAATCGCTAGCACTGCGGACGAGATTTTGACTGCAATTCTTCTCCAGCTAGCTGATCAATTGGCTGCCCATCGGTCGATCTGCCTAACAGGTCCCCTTTCCTTTTTTTTTAGACCCGAAGCACGAGTGACATCAAGTCATTGACCCTCGCAAGCATTTCCTTTCATCCTCATTGTTTACACTTTTAAATTTTATTATATCAAGAAATTGCGTGTTATAATTTTCTATTCTAAATTATGATAATGACTGCCTCTTCTAAATTGAATCTGGTCCCTAATAATATTTCAATGCAATTAGCCACTTAGTTAAAGAAAAATATTATGCATTTAGTTAGTATATTGTAGTAAAAAATAATATGTTGTAGTGTGTATCGATCAAAGTTGCTGATATATTCAGTATTTTGTAATTAATCATATATCTATTTTCTAGTTTTATTCAATTTGCTCTTTAATAATATTCCTCACCTCTAAAACTCTACACTTTTGGAAAGGAAAATATGGGAATGTAGTAAATCAATAAATAAAATATAAATAGTGATTAATATAATTTATTTAAAAATTTTTTATATGTGTATTATTAATTTATTTCCAGTTGCTAAATTTGTTCAGACGCTTTTGATGTTGAACATTTTCAATAACATTTAATTTTAAGATTTATTTTTATATGCTTTACTAATATGATAATTATTTTATTATCGTTGATTACAGTCACATTCATGTTTTACTGTTTGTGGTAGTAAAAAAATTAATGAACTGGGGGGGGCATGAAAATAATTCTAGCATTATTTTAAAACATGATTTTATTTCCAATTAAAGTTTTTCCTTTATTCTTCCCTTTTCAACAGGGGATCAAAACAAACTCAAGTTTTTAAATTATGTAAATGTTTAAAAATATGAAAGATATGAATAGAGAAAAGCATTCTTTATAAATGAATGGCCTCAATTAAATGTAATAAACTAATATAAAATGCAAAAGTATTCGTAAAATGTTTATGAATGTTCAGTCAAATATCTTAATACAGTTTTTAATGTAATTTTTTTAACTGTTTATAAACTAGGCTGTCTCTTTAAAAACTATGAAAGAATGATTTAGTAATTTAACATTCATTTAGAGTAAATTTTGTCGATTTATTTTTACCAGCAAGTTGTCATGTATTTGCTTTTTAAACACATTAAAATAACTTAATATATACAGTACAAAGTCTTTAATCCAGACTCGTCGGGACTTCGGCGATTCCGGATTAGGGGTTTTTCCGGATTATAGATCATCAATTTAAATCTGGCAAGATGGCATGTAGAAATTATACAATTAAAAATATGAAACCGTAATTTATGAAATAAAGAGCAATTATGATCTAAACGGTGTCAAAATTTACAAAAAAAAAGCTTAATATTTATTTGTTTACTTTATTAAATATTTCATTCAACGTGCGCATGCGTAAAGCCTACATTGCGTATAGTTGAAATTGGAAAATTGCAACCAGAAAACTATTTGATGTGTATTCATGATATTTATAATGACGAGGAAATGAACTAAATCATATCAGAGTACATCAAGATGAAACACTATATTTAGTAAGGAATTATGAGCCGAATAAAATAAAAACATCTGCCCTGAAGATGAGGATAGTGCTAACAGATCAACTTCCAGTTCATTGCGCTCCCCACAACGTCCCCCCTCCCCCCTGCGTGCAGAGCAGTGTGAAATTGATAAACAGATTTCGGAATGGTTAGAGAAACAAATCACCTCTCTGTCACTTTCTTCATGCCTTTATCCATTCTTTGCAGCAATTCCACTTTTTGTTTAATGGACATCGAAACATGCTTTCGCTTTGTAGATCCTTTGGCAACTCCAGAATTGGAAACTTTTTTTGACATAATCGAAAGTTCAAGCTTACTTTTTATAAAATTGCTCTAACAGTCTGCAAAAAATAATAAGCCGGATCCAATTAGAAGATTAAGGAACAATGCAATCTGCAACATTAACTGAAATAGATAATTACATAATTTTAGCCTAGCTTATACCGTCCGTTATACATTAAATGCGCTACGCATGCCCAGAAAGTTTGTAGCTTTGAGGTCTGGATTATGGACGTCCGAATATATTATAGACGTCCAGATTATGGACTATATATAATGCACATTTTTATTTAATTCAGGTCTGTGCCCAGACAAGTAAAAGTAAGGAATCATTTTATTTTGGGAAAGTTAAAATGCTAAATAATGCTTAATTGAAACCTAAAAATATTGTTTAAAAATGTATATTCATAACAGAAAAAAGAGCCTTTTTATTGTTATAGGTGTTTTAAATTTTTACCGTACATCCTTTAACTACCTCATAATGAACAGACATAAATATTTTTAAAAAGTTTATTTTTAACTCAAGTGTATATTTTTTCTTTTCAGGATTTTGATGCTTGGTTTAATACGAACAATTGCTTAGGTGACACATCTCTTGTTGAAAGACTGCATGCAGTAAGTAGTTGATTCTGTCGTAAATAGAATAGTCCTTAAAACTGCAGTTTAACAAATTATTCACATCTGATATGTTACACAAATTATTGCCTTTGGCTAAATTTTTGTGTTTTTAAGTTAAACATGTCTGTTTATAAAACTCAGTGTAGTAAATTGATATCAAGTTGATTTCAGATTTTCACAGAGAATAAGACTGTGTGAAAAATGGTGTTTAATGATTCATCCATTTGTCATGTCGTTAAGTTGCTTATTAAAATGTAAAGGAATGTTTATAAAGAAAAATCATACGTGGACTTTATGTCCCAATCATGAAAACTTTAAATATAAATTCACTTAGTAGAATAACATTTACATACCTAAATGAATCATTACATATATGCAGGATGGCCCAGACTTGCATGCCAGTATGACAAAATGGTTCCTAGGCAAAGATAGCCTCTATTTAATCTTCCATGTTTGCTGTTAAAGTGTTAGAAAAAAGTATAACAACACACTGGTAGACTATGAGCACAAAAAAACTTTTAACAAACCCTTTTGGGCAACCATTGAAATCTGCAACCTCTTGTTTTTTTAATCTTATTTTTGTTTCACATTAATGTAAAATGCTTATTAGATAATAAATTAAATTAATGAATAACAATTATTTATCATTTCTGTATCAGAAAACAGGCTGCAGTTAAGTTATATTGGATAATGTTGCTGGCTGAGGGTCATATGACAGTGAAGAAAAAGGCTGCAAAATATCTCAATCATCAGATGATACTGTTAGAGATGGGTACATGGCTTACATTATTCAGGAATTTAATAATAAGGAGCTAATGCTTTATTTAAATTCCTTCCTTAAATGAAATCACTCTGTTCTCAGTAATTGTGTTTCTGATATACTCTGAATAGAATATTAGCATCTGGAAGGAAAGTTTGTATATAATCAATTTTTTCTACCATAGCAGCTCACTCACTGTATTATCATTTATTTCTACAGCCCACCAGTGGCCAAGTGGAAAGATTGCAAAACAATTCAACTTAAGTACAAACTCCATGAACAGGCTGACCATGTGGGCATTTTTGTGGTTTTCTAAATCAGTAATATGAATCAGTTTTTCTTAAGTCTTCCATGAAGGTATATTCTTACACTGGTGGCCGTAGTGTGCTTTGCTGTAATCCAATCCTTGTGTTTCTACTTGCACATTCTTTTAATTCTTTGTTTAAAGTTCTTTTTTCATCATCCCTGTGATTTATGAGATCTAAGAAATTATCACCGCTAACGAAATGTGTGGCTATGAGAAATGAGCTTCTCATACCATTGGAGGGTTCCAAGCCAAAACATGTTCTGCTGGAACCAATGTCCCTGCTATCTACACTGCACTGCTACAAGTTCCGTCAGTACTTTCAATGTATGTAATTACTAAATTAAACTATGCATACTCATTAATGTATATATATTTTGCAAAAATTGCTACAAAATGAACGTACTCTTATTCAAGATGATCACCATATGTGGCAGCACAGCGACAAAGACATCGAGACCACTCATCAATAGCAGCATGAATCGTGTCTAGTAGAAATTTTTTTGGCAGCTGATGTGATTAATTTTTTTAACATCTCAGTTCATTTTTGATATGCTGTCACCTCAAGCTTCTGCCACAGAGAATAATCCAACAGACTAAGGTCCAGACTTCCACTAGGCCATTCAGCAGCTGTGATGGACTGTGAGACATTGGTTGCCAACCACTGCTGCATTGTTTTTTCTTTGTGTGCAGGAGCGTTATACTGCTGAAACATTTACAATTTCTCTTCAGGCAGCTCCGAATTGATATGTTGTATCTCTAAAGCATTGTCTGGTAGACAGCTGTCTGTTTTGCGAAGGTGAAGTCTTTACTTCACCTTCGCAAAGCAGACAAAATGCGAAAATGCGCCTCCGATGCTCCCTGCTAGGAAATCATCTACCATACCATGACAGAAACAGGCTGATGTCTGTGCTGCACATGTAGAACTTTTTCTCTTGCTTCCTTGGAGAATCGTTCATACACATGATTGTTTTGCGTGTTAAATGACTTTTCCATTGTGAATATTTTTTCATCTATGAATAGGAGTTGCGGTATTGGCTCTCCCCATGAATTGTTAGCAAAGCCTTTGATCGAGCCTGATATATCCCCTTTTTATTTTTTAGTTAGTAAATGCCATGTGTACCTTTTATATGCACCAGCATTTAAATCATCCCTCAAAGTATGTGACATAATTCATGGAGAAATATATTCATTTCACTGAGACAAAATTGTTTGTTCATGCAAAGGATTGTGTCGAATCCTAGCACGAACAGCATTTACAACTTCTCTTCTGCATACACACCTAGGATGACCCATTCTGACACAATCACCAGTTACGTCTGTTTGTTTAAACTGTGCTGTTGTCTGAAACACAAATCGTTTGTTGATACTGTAAGGTTTCAGTTTAGAAACAATTTCCTTAGCTCATTTTCTGCAATGAAATAGCAATACAGTAATACTATTCTTATGCACTCCCTGCTCTATCTTTCACTGCTGCCTGCTGTTTGGCACACTGCAAGCTAGTTACTGGCAGAGTCATAAAGGTGACGCTGTGGATGACAGCATACAGCGTTGCCAGTCTTCTTTGTTCACAATTACCATATGACAGTGTGTTTTAGATTTTACTGACAGAATGTATGGCAGTATTGTTTATGTGGAATGTTTTGAAACTGAATTGAAAATATTTTGCTTGAAGCTTTGTCTCTCATGTGATTTTTCCAAAGAACTGGGTTTTTGCTGTAAGTAAATTAATAAGATATCCTGAAAATAAAAATTCTAGAAAATGTTTCTTTTGACATACTTTTGAGGGTAGCTTATAGATGTGATACCAGTTTTAGATGTTGGATGGAAAATCTAAGTTGACTGCAATTCTGGTTAGAGGCCATAGAGTCCTTATTTCGATGTGAATTTTCGTAATCCAAAGTTTTGTTTCATTTATTTTTTATCTTATAAAGTTGAAATTTTACTCTAATGATAATATGTTCATATCTGATATTTAAATAGCCTTGTGCTTTTAATTTATTATTTTTAGTTATTGGGTCTTGAAAAGTATCATTGCATACTTAAATAACATTATATATTTTGAAAAGTTTTCGAATACTGAAAGATAATTCCTTTTCTTTTGATTTCGTATAGGTTTTATTTTATATCCTGTATCTGCAAATGAAATGAGGTGTGAACTTTTTATTAATGTTTTTTAGGTGCTTAGACCATTTTTGCTGCGTCGATTGAAATCTGAAGTGGAAAAGAAGCTTCCTCCTAAAAAAGAAATTAAAATTTACGTTGGTCTGAGCAAAATGCAGAGAGAATGGTAAGAGTAAAACTAAGTATATGATTACATAAATATATTGTGCATAATGCAGTTATCAGATAATTGCTATTGTGTCTTTTCTTTTTTTCAGGTATACTAAAGTATTAATGAAAGATATTGATGTAGTGAATGGTGCTGGAAAAGTTGACAAGATGAGATTGTTGAACATTTTAATGCAGCTTCGTAAATGCTGTAATCACCCCTATTTGTTTGATGGTGCTGAGCCTGGTATGAATATTAATTTTATAAATACATTCAAGCGGCTTTCTTAACTTTATCTCAAAAATAAATTTTAAATACATATATTATATCCTAATTTTTTTCAATAACATAGGTCCTCCATACACAACAGATGAACACTTGGTGTATAATTGTGGGAAAATAGTGATTTTGGACAAATTGCTTCCAAAATTACAGGAGCAAGACTCTCGAGTTTTAATTTTCTCGCAGATGACGAGGATGCTTGATATTTTGGAAGATTATGTGATCTGGAGAGGATTTAAATATTGTCGTTTGGATGGACAAACTCCTCATGAAGACAGAGAAGTAAGTTTATTATTATTTTTTGCCATCTAAAAGCCCTATAAGAGAACCATCTATGTAGAGCAATTTTCCCATACAAAAGGTGCATGTATTTTTTATTTATTTATTTAGGGGGTTAAAGGTAGAAATTATGCTTCTGATTTATCAGGAATTTGAATAATTTTATTGAATTCTATACCGAGGGCTCATAAACATTTTAAACCCAAAATCAACAACATGTAATTGATTAAAATATTTGCAATGCATGGATCTATTTTTTAACTAGAAAGGCTTTAAAAATAGTCATTAATAAGTTCCTGTACTGTAACAATTTTTTTTTTTTTAAATTATTTCTTCCTCACCTTTTCTGTCTTTCAGTACCCGATGTTCTGTTAAAAAAATCATATTGTGGGAGCTCATGAAAAGGAAAAGATAAAAAATAATGGAACCACGCTCTAATAAAACGAAACCAATTCTAACCGACCATATAGCAGAAGGGTACCCTCTTGGTTGTTGTGTTATCTTTTTCTAGCTGGTCACATATTTTCTTTTATCACTTTTTTTCTTTTAACCTTTTGAAGACAGGATGGCCATTATAGTGGCCATAGAGTCCTCTGTTTGAAAGGACGGGGTTGTCCACTTTAGTGGTCATGTCTTTTTCTCCCATTTTCCAGGCTGAAAGAATCCGGTTATTTCCGGTTTTTCCCTTTTAGTTCTTGTAACTACATAGCTACAAAATTCGCGATGACTGCGTTTGTAGTAAACAAAGCCTTGCGTTGCTTTAGAATATTGCATATTTTCCCAAGTTTTTTAGGAATTATTTTGACATTTTTCTACCAATATGCCGAAAAGGAAAAGAGGTCTATCTGAAGAAGGAATACGAAAACTTCTTCAAGAGCTTGATGATGAAATATTTACACATAGATATATCTGTATGTTTATACACATATGCATAAATCCACATGCAAACACGTACATATAAATGCATGCATATGCCTGTCTGTGTACATGTACGTGTCTGTATATACGTTATTCCCATTTAAGGATACGCATGCTTTCCGCTTTATGTGTATATCTGCACTTATACCATATTATATCAGTGCAGACATACATACTACGTGGATATGTAAAGGTATACATTTCCATAAACAAATATAAATTCCCACATACTTGTATACATGTACAAGCACTTTTTCTTACATTCTTATCAGTTCTTTCTTAACAGTTCTGTCTGTCTTTATTTCCATATATATCTGTTTATGTTGAAGTGACCTTCACACACGGAAGTTTACTGTGATGGTACTGTTATTCAGACAAACCACAAAAACATAAATATAAATTTTGTGTAAAAAAAATAACAGTAGTTTTACAATTTCGGTTTGAAATCTGCAAATCGTAAATACACTAAAACTAGTCAATCAGTTTGAAAGGTCATCTCTAGCCGTTAGATTCCAGATGTACTGTTATTTTAAAAGGTACCTCCATATCAGTGTCTCGATTTCACGGTCAAATAATTTTGAATGTTCAGAATGGATTAGAGTAGCATTTGAGAAATTTCAGTGTCCCTTGAGCTTCGATAATACAAACAGAATGTAAAAGCTCTCAAATAATGTACAAATCATTATTCTAAGATAACACATGTTCCCCATCTGATTTTCTGAACCTTGACATTTTAATTGATTGAATGTTTTTGTCATTCATTAGACATATATCTCAGCAACTATGTTCAAGGACAAATTCGGGGGGGGGCATACCTTGGGCAGTCGGTTATGAAATAGTTTCGATATGACAGCATAATGACCGAGGTTTTAATGAAACCAATGAATAGCTGCCAAATTTTCAATAAAAAAGAGAAAAGCAGTTAATTCAACTATGTCAGTATAGATTTCGCATGACCTGACAATGAAGATTTTTTGAGTAACTGCAAGCAAAGATACTCGCTAACATATCGTAGAATTTCAATTCCACCATATAAAATATGCCCCCATGGTTGATGTCAAAGCTGCTACAAAGACAGTCTGGAGTTGAAATGAACTGGTTTAAACAATAGAGGAAAATAGAAAAATTCACATGGGACGACGATTTCAAACAGGAGAGGAATTTTGCTGACCAGGCACCTGAAATTATCTAGGAAATTTCTTAATTTGCTAACTTATGCAGAATAAGAATAAATAAATACAGTATTGAAGACAACAACTATTTCTGAACCTTGATAATATATACAAAACAAATTTAAAGCATACATATAGAATAACATAATGTAGTATTAAATTGACAACAACTAATAACTATTGTGTAACTTTTGTCCCACAGTTTTTGCAGACGCAATGCATAACAGCAATTTTCCCTTCAATTTGAAAAACTCTTTGCACTAAGAAATTACCTAAATTTGATACCCGAGTGAACACGTTCCCATAGTGAGGCTGACGAATCCCTTAATGAGGCTGGAAATTTACGTTTTAGACAAATGGGTTTGCATTTACGCTAAATTGAATTATGGGTTTGACATACATTCTATTATTCTAATACTTGAAATATATCACTTACTAATTTTCAATAAACAGTATAAAACGGTACATAAATAAATATTCTTGTTTTTTCCTTCAAATTTTTAAAACTAAAATATTTTAAAAAAGCAGTTTTTGAGGCTGGTTTTATTGCATTAATTTGGAAAAGAACTGAATTTTAATTAGCAGCACTTATGTAGTTACATTGCAGTACTAACAGTCTACAATAAAAAAATAATTTTTTAAACCATTTATTCTATTGCTGAAAGTTTCCTCTTAAATAGTATGTTATCAAGCAGATTTGAACAATTATGTAAAATTAAAATTTCATTACGCCTATAGAGCATAATTTTAATAGTTCCACTGAACTTAAATTTTTAATTATTTCTATAGCTTTAAGCGTTTGTTTTTTAACTATTCCCTGAATGGAAGAAAGTTCAAAGATATAGCTATATTCGATAATATATACCAAAACAAATTTAAAATTACAAGAACATTTAACAGTAAAAAAAAGACAGATGAAGATTGGTTAAATTTTAAATTGTCCAAGGAAATAATCAAATAGTTGCAATATTTTTTTGACATAGCATTAATATAAAGATATGTTAGAAATAATTATTGTAAGCACTTAGTAAAGACACATAGTTTTGTAGTGTAATTTAAAATTCAAACCGAAATTTTATAAAAACTAAGTAATGTCCTATAATATAAAGAATGGCATTTTCTTCAACGAAAGTTTACACATTTCCCAGTAGTCTCAATCCGGAACAACTGTAATATGAAATTTTCCCTCAGTGACGAAAAGCATCTTGAAGTCTGGTCACCAATGCCGACACTTCCCTTCCTTTTTCGACATAGATGCACTCCTCTGAGAATCCATGAAACTACACATAAGAATCTTTGCTGCAAATAGGAGGTGATTTCTTAAAGGGGGGAAAGCATTCGGTTCAAGATTCCCCGTCAAGTCTTTTGCTGCTACCGAAGCCCCAGCCTCAAAAGGTGTTAAACAGACATAAAAAAAAAGCTAAGTATGCTAGCAAGCCAAAATAAAATTTACCAAAATAAAACTGTTAAGAATAATAACTGACTCAAATTACTTTCTAAAAATTTCGTAGGTTTACAAGCTTTCTTGGTTAAATAACAAAAAATATGGATATCAAGACAAAGAATCCCTATGGTATTATAATTAGAAAAAACATCTACAACTAAAAACGTTTTACTATAGTAATTAAAACATTCCACACTGATATGATTAATTAAAACATTTTTTACACTCAGCAGTTTTAATAAAAACCATTCACAATCATAAATAATATCATAAAGAATAATTTTAACTTTACAACTCTTTTCAGACAGACAAGCAATACATTAATCTTTTTCATCTTTAAATATGTTTATAGATTGAAATCAAGTATAAAGGTATTGTGCTAAATAATGCACATCATTATATACTTGAGAATTTGAGAATGTGTATTTTGATTTCAGGCAGATATTAATAAATCTGAATAGTAGATTCTGTCATTAAATTTATTTTCCCTAATTTATTGTATTACATATCTCATAACTTCTAAAAATGTTAATCATTCCTTATGATTTCTAAATTAATTTGCATTTCTGTGTTTCATGGGAATTTTCCCTCCTTTCTATAATCGTCTCTTTTTGTTCAGTTAGGGCAAGCATGTGCCTGTTGCTTTGTAAATTGTGGGATTGCAAGTTAAGAATTCCCTTAATTTTACTGTCCTTTTTGCTCTTACTGTCTTTCAGTTAATGTAAAGAATTTACTTAATCAGTGCAACTATATGCTTCAAATGCAGATTGTTTTTGACCAAAATTTTATTCTTGGTAGACTTTACTGTTTTCCAATTGCTTTGTAACTGATTGCAAAGCTGTAAAACCACAGATTATATAAATAAAGACTTTTAAACATCTGCTTGTCATTGTTTTAATAAATTGTCTACTCTAATTATGATTGTTGTATATTTGCAAAAGTAAAGATATTTCTGTTCAGATATGAAAATGAAAGAAAATATTGTGAAATAGAAGTATTACAAAAACAAAGTTTATGAAAACTGAGTTTTCCAACTTGTGGCAGGCTGGGAAGATTAAGATTAATAGAGCTAAAAAGTTATAAGATTTTGTTCATGTATAGTGTATGTAAATATTTTATAGTAATGAGTAAATTTATTGCATTTTTAACATTGGTGGTGGTTTTGTTATTCAGCAGAGTCTGTATGTTGTTTGTGCAATTTTGGACTAAGCTAGGAAATAGATTAAAATTTTCCTATTAAAAATTACGTGGGAAAAATGATTGTTTCCCATTAAAATAACACATGAAAAACAGTCCTGCATTATAAATACTGTTGCAAAACTGATAATGTTCATTGAGGACCAAAAACAGGTTTTAACTATATTAATTTTAGCATAATGTTTTCATCAAAATCAATTTAAACAAATATATTTCACGCTTTGTTTTGATGTTAAAAATTTTTTCTTGTCTTTTTTTAGCGTCAAATCAATGATTTCAACAAACCAAACAGTGACAAATTCATTTTTATGCTCAGTACCCGTGCTGGTGGTTTAGGTATAAATTTAGCAACAGCTGATATTGTAATACTTTTTGACTCTGACTGGAATCCACAAGTTGATTTACAAGCTATGGTAAGTTAACATTTATATATATGTAGATCTGTGTATTTAATGAATTTGTACGTTTTAATATTATTTACCAGTTCTGGTGTAAATTCGAGTCTTCTAACTTACCTAACAGTAAAACTCCCAGCCATTAATGTGCAGCTTTTTCTACTGAAAAAAAAATTCAGTCATTTTGACTGTTTCAGATTCTAGTACAAGGAATCTGGTAACTCTGTAATGAGTTTCATTTAAGACTTTATTTGCATTCTACAGTTCTTGTAAAAACAACATGTAAGGTATTTCAAATCAGAAATACTCTGTTTGTGGAGAAATTTTCCAGCCTTTTCAGAATTTAGAATATCAGTCTAGCTATATATGACTATTTACATTGAAGGGAATGAAAATAAAAAAATTCTTAGCTATTGCAAATAAGTGAAAGTTAGAAAATGCAGTACCAATAGATGTTTGCATCTAGCATAAATAATGTGATGTTTACATCTAAAATAAATATTGGAAACATAACTGTGGTGCTGCAATGAATTTCTTTTACGGATACAAATACAAGATGAAAAATTAAACCTCTTAAGTTTCATTTGGCAATTATAAAAAGCCTGCTTTAGTTGTATATAAAGGGAAAAGCTGAGGTTAAATGTAAATCATTCATCGACAGCAAAACTGTGGAAGACATTCACATGACTTACCTACAAAACCCTATCCTGGCAATGTATCACAACATAATGTGCAATAAGCAACAGTGTGGCAATATTTACATGAATATTTGCATTTCAAGGCCTAACTAATTTCATATGGCTTAGATGCTAACAAGCCTTTTCATTTTTGGGTATCTATTAATGCATCACAAAATATATTGCCTATGATTCTTTGTGAATTTTCTGTAATCCTAAAACCTTTTGTGTTTTCAGTACCTATTAAAAGTGGGGGCTCCTCTATTTGAGCACATGAGCCCTGAAGACAAGTTAAGAAAGGAATTTATTAACAAATTAAATACATTTCCAGATTATTGTTAATTTCCAGGATGAGTTTCTCCTCTCCCCTTTTTAAACCTTTTAACTGTCATGCCCGAGATAATCTCGGGCACAGCACTAATGTTCGAAAATGTCACGCCCAAGTATTTCTCGGGGTAATTTTTTTTTTTTTTTTTTTTTTTTTTTTTTGAGTGCATTGTATTGTCATACCCGTATATATATCTGGAGATGTTTATTTCGGCTACATTTGGTTTTTCCAATAAAAAAATTTGACAATTTGTGTACCCAAATCATCAAAATAACTTGACAGTTAAAGGGTTAATATAGTAATACGTTGTTAGGTTTTCATAGCATAGAGCACTTTGGTTTTCCTCAGTTGTACGTAAGATCCAGCAATTCCCTTGAAAACTATTTATGTGGAAAGAATCGGACAGAGGAATGGAAGGGGAAGGCATCGCTGATACCATTACATTCACAAATCTTCAGTATGCAGGAACTTGCATTGTTTGCAGTTATCTCATATGAATTCTCTCTAGGTTTGCTATATTCAATTAGTTAAATTGGTTTCCCATTTTCTTCTTATTTTTTTAGTCCAAAGGGGCTTCGTCCCTGAAGGACTATTGTTTTTGTTTTGCGATTTTGCATTGAATCAGTATAAATGTCCGTTTCATTTTCAAACTGTTGCCACCAAATGTTAAGAGTCCTGCATTATATTTGAAGAACTTAAATAATGAAAAATCTGCATAAATGTATGTCTGTTTCTCGCATTGTGATAAAACAACGGTACATGGAGCCATCGAATTTTGAATGACATAATCCTACTGCGAATATGGGCATGTGGAAGCCCAAATTTGGAATTTGTTTTATTATCGATTTCATATTTTGTAAAACTTTAACTAATTTTTGAGTAACAAACTCAAAGATTTGAAAGCGAGCAATGGCAACAATCAACGGGGGGGGGGGGCCTTTTTATCTCCAGCATGCGAAACTGTGTATCGGAAATTCTAAAGGTAGGCTCATTTTATACGACATTGTTATTGAACTGAAATTTATGGTTTAAGTGCAAAGAACATGATATGTAATAAATAAAGGTAACACACAAAACGTTAAAAAAAAGGACCCTTTGGACATAATTTAAAATAAACAGTTAAGATCAGTAAGACTGAGTAGAATCAGTATTTTGGAACTAAAACAGTTTCCCTTTTCAATATTGTCTTTGGATGAAAATTTTAAAGAAATTACTTGGGTCAGTACCTTTGCTAAACCTTATCCAGGTGCTGAAATATAAGGATAGAGATTTAAAAAAGGAATTCAAGTCCTATTTCTATAAAAAATATTTAGGATGTGTGGATGCCAACCAATTAACGGGCTGTTTCGCTTTCCATGGCTGCTGTTTACAAAACAGAATGGTGATTCAAGTTGGGTTAGTTACCATGTTCCTGATTTATTACACCTAACTCAGATAATTAAAAAGCAGGAATGCTCACAATCACATTTGAACTCTATCTTAGAATTTAATTTGCTAGTAAGATGCATATTTGCCAAAACTCAACAGTGTATTTCGTTCAAAAATTAAGACATACAATAATAAACTTGCTGAAAATCATTATGGTCTAACACAAATTATTGACTGCATTCTGTTTGGCGGTGTATTTGAGCTTGCACTTCAAGGACATGATGAAAGCGAGGGTTCATTAAATCCGGGAGTTTTTAAAGGTCTTATCAACTTCTTAGCAGAAACTGATTCATCTCTTAAAGCCCATCTCACTAATGCCAGTGTTTTTAAACGAGTGTAAAAAGAAATTTAAACTGATTTATTAGACTGCATGCTCACTATTTGTCAAAAGCACATAAAAAATATGGGCTCTCAAAAGTAAGTTTTATTTCAGTAATAGCAGATGAAACTACTAATCCACGTCATCCACTTCCAAATTTAGAATTGGTTGTCGATTTTTGATGCAATTTAAGTAATGGATAACCAGTAGAGAAATCTGGGAATTCATCAGGGCATGATGCAAAATGTATAGCTAAATGTCTCCAACCAAATTTGGAAACAGTAATAGTCGAACCTGTGAAATTAATATCACCGAGCTATGACTGTGCAAGTGTAATGAGTGGTCATCATTCAAGCTTTCATTCAACATACCTAAAAGAACGCAAAATTTGTGCATTGCTACATACATCAGCTCAGTTTGATTGCTTGGGAAACAACCAGTCAGAATCAGCAAGTTTGAGTTGTTTTTTTAGTCCAAAGGGGCTTTTTCCCTGAAGGACTATTGTTTTCGTTTTGTGATTTTCTGTTGAATCACTATAAACAGAGAATCACTTTTTAAACTGTTGCCACCAAATGTTAGAGTCCTGCATTACGTTTGAAGAAATTAAATAACGAAAAATCTGCATAAATGTATGTATATTTCTCGCATTGTGATAAAACAACAGTACATAGAGCCATCGAATTTTGACTGATGTAATCCTCCTACGAATATGGCCATGTAGACGACCAAATTTGGAATTTGTTTTATTATCGGTTTTATATTTTGTGAAACTTTAACAAATTTTTGAGTAACAAATTCAGCGATTTAAAAACAAGCAATGGCAACACTCTACTGGGTGGGACCTTTTTATCTCCAGTGTGCGGAACTGTGTGTTGGAAATTTTAAAGATATGCTCATTTTAAAATTATTTTGCGACATTGCTATTGAACTGAATTTTGTGGTTTAAGTGCAAAGAACGTGATATTTAATAAATAAAGGTAACACACAAAACGTTAAAAAAAACGCCCCTTTGGATGTAATTTAAAATCTGAAACCTTTCATATCCCCCCTTCCAACCTGAGTGATAATACTAACTTTTAACTCAAACAGAGAAAGGCTATTCTAGATGAAACCTTTTCAAAAAGGATAGCTTATGTTCTGTTACCAGATGAAATTTTAAGAGTCGAATGGTCAGTAAATCAATACAGTGTATGAATGCAGGGAGTAGTTGATTGAGTGCATGGAAAAAATAAAAGTCAACATCTAAGCAAGCTGTAGCAATAAATCAAGCAGAGGCCACCCTCTGTATGTTAGAAAATCCAGAATTTTTGTTTGGGCTTACAGTGTTTCACAATATTAGGCCACATGTCAATATATTTTAGTGTTTTACAATCAGCTTCAAAAAACAGTAACTGATGCAGCAGCCATTAGAAAGCAAATAAACATTTTTCAGCAGTCATTAGAAAAAGAAAGGAAGGGAATAGACACGATTACAAAGGAGATATCAGAATCATGTGAAACTTCAAGAAAAAGGAAGAAAGAAAATATTCATATACATAAAACTGTAGCATCTAAAGATGTGATGTTATCACAAAACAAGTAAAAGAGATATTTTGCTTTATTGCTTGCTTCTTTGCTATTTTTCTAACTCAGATTCTTGACTAAACAACTGTCGTTTATTCCATGTTACAGAAGGATCGCATGAAAACTAAACTAGGAGTAATATATAGAACATGAGATTTCAGAATTATGACTGGTACCATTAGTCTTCTACAATTTGTTATGAAAAACAACTTACAGACTATGTTTTTGGAGGCCTACAAAGTATTGCTAATTATTGTGACTGTTCCAATGACCACTGTTGCAGTCTGAGAGATGCTTCTCAACTGTAAAACAAGTGAGGATATTTTTAAGAAGCACTGGGAGCGAGCACAGACTAAAAGCTCTGAACTGGGGCTGGGACATGAAAAATAATATATCTAAATTCAATGAAAATATTATTAACATATTTGTCTTGAAAGATGGAAAGAACTTTGTGATGAGTTTGGATGAAGACAGATGAATGGATTTAATTTACAAAAATGTACTTGACTATCTTGTAATCAGTGTTCAAAGATATACTGTAAGCAATATGGTTTTATTACATTCCACTGTAAGAAATAAAATGCTACAATTTGTGATCTATGAAGAACTTATTTTCTTTTAGTTGCATCGTTTTCCTTTAACTTGTGAAAACACAGGTGCATTTTAACTTGTAAGTTATGTATATTTAATTTCAAAATTTGTTTTGTGAACCTCCATTTAAGAGCCGCCACTGCCTATTAATGCATCACAAAAAAATACTACCTGTGATTCTTGTGAATGTTCTGTATTCCTAAAACCTATTCCGGATCCTTCTATAAATATATATTTTTGTTTCTCTTCTTGTTCATGTTCTCTCTTTTTGGAGGGAGGGAAGGATGGGAATGGCTTCTTTTATGCGTGTGTATGTATTGGAATGCTCTAAGACTAAATATTCCTATGTAAACATTGGAAAGCATATAGGGATGAGCAATATGAACAAATGAGTAGCAGCATGGGACAATTCATCATTCAAGTTGTTTTTTTATCAGATTTCATATGGGGACAGAAACAAACTGCAGAGAAAAGCAATCTGTTTGAGGCTAGTTTGAATGCAATTGCCAAACCATACTTGTCATAAGTAAAATAAACAAAAATTAAAATTTTAAAAAAAATGTGTTTTCCAGAAGGCTCGGTGGGAGATGTTTATATCCCAACTTCCACAGCACTCAAAGAAATGAATAGGTGACATGATTAACTCACATGATGACGTGATGTTTTTTAAAGTATATTTTCCGTACTATGACTGTTGCCATAGATGTGTCAAGAAATAGATTATTGTGTAGGCATCTATCTACTGTATTGCAAAGGGTGCCCACATTGAATGTATTCTTAAACTTGGGAAGTTAATTTTTTATATACCAATCACATCTGCATTTCTTTTTGTACCGAGTCACTTTGAATTATCCTGTAATTGAAATCAAATTTTACGTAATTTCACTTCATAAAAACCAGTATCATCTAAATCATATGCATATATATTTAATTTTTTCTTTTGTGCCTGAGTGTTTAAACTAAGCTAACACTAAATCATTTCACACCACATCTAAGTGTTTATTAATAATTTTCTAAACTTATTGAAAATTTTTTTCATGATTTAACAAATTATGTTTTGTTATATCTTTCTTCAGTTTGTGCATATGAAATTTTTCATATTTGTATCTTCTACTAAGGCAGAAGCGATCATGTAACATTATGTAAATTTAACTTATTGAAAATATGTGTATAAAAGTCGTGTTGTAAATTGCTTGTCTATTTCAGGATCGTGCTCATCGAATTGGGCAGACTAAGAGAGTCAAAGTTTTCCGCTTGATTACAGAAAATACAGTGGAAGAGCGTATTGTAGAAAGAGCTGAAATAAAATTACGTTTAGATACTGTTGTGATCCAACAAGGTACATTTTAAATAAAAAATCAGTATTCTTTCTACTTTTTAAATGTATTTTTAATTTTTAGCAGTATTTCTGTTTAGTTTTACTTCCTTTATCTGAAGTAATTGGTTAACATTCAGATAAGAACGTTATTATATAGAATTGCTATAAATGATAATGTTATTGATTTCTGAAGTATACTGTATATGTATAATCAATAGTGTTTTAAACATCTTGATACCAAGGCTTTAAGATCTGCTTGTAAAGTGATACATTTACGTAGTATTTATAACATAAATTGGTAAATTATTTGCTACACCTTTTGTTTTCATAAATTTAGTTATTAAAAAAAACTTTGGGAGCAAAATATTTTTCTATGCTTACAAAACTAGCAAATATTATGACTAAGTAAATTGCGATCTTGCGTAATATAAAAGTGTAAAAATTACACTGGGTTAAGAGGTTTTGAAATATCCTTTAACACATTTGCTGATGCATGAAGTGGTGGTGTCATCTAACAGCCAATCAATCTAACATGAGCACTTAGAGAGGTATATTTTAGCATTTTGATTTCATGTTATATGTTCAGGCAGTGTGTATAGACATATAAATGCAGTAAATTTTACTTTTGGTCTTATACATTATGTTTAGGTCTTATATTTTTCATGCAAATTTTTTTAAATTGTCTCATAATGTAAGCAACATGTAAATGACAGTTTGCCAGAGCCTGCTTATCCTTAAATAACAAGATGCAAGTATGAAAGACTGTTAACAGATAAAGAACTTTTAATAATTTTTTAACATTTAAAAGGTAAAATCTCAATTGAGTGTATGAATGTATTCAGTTTCTTGGGCAAAGAGTATGCCTTTTATACAGATGATTCTAAATATTCAGATTATGATACATGTGCAGAATATCATGCAGAAATTTCAACTTATCATAAGAATCTGTTACACTAGGAAATATAATTTGGGAAGGCAAATTAATATCTATCCAGTTCATAAATTTTTTTAACTTTATCAAAATATTTATTTTAAACATAGTACAGTAGTACCATTGTTTGTGCCTTATTATATCCAGAACAATTTATTATTTCAGCTAAATATTAAATACAATGATAATTTTGTTGTAGTCTAAAATTTCATTCTAATAATTATTATTCAGACTAATAATCGTTATATTACTACAGTGTACTATTCTCAGAATGTGAAGTAAATAAAGCTCTTTGTATAGCTTTATCAAAAACATTGAAAAAAGCAGATATTTATATAAATATCTAAGCAATAAGATGACAGTAATAGTATGAAATTCATTTCACTGACACTAAATGAATCATCAGGTAATGTTGCAGCACTATAACATGTAAAGTTTGAATTAAAATATTTATTTCTTTGCATTAATGATGAAATAATAGCACATGCATTGTGCATAAGATTGGCAAATATGTATTTGATGGGTTAACATTTGAATTCTTTCCTATTTAATATAAAATGCATACTTGAGTTTTAGAAGCACAAGGCCCTGCTTCAATTGAAACAAACATTTTAAAGTTTTTTTTTTTTTTTTTTTTTTTTTTTTTTAAATATGAATCCTGTTATTGTGCTGTGCTAAATTTGGCTACTTATCAACATTTTGGCAATTTCAAAATAAGTTTGTATAAAAAAATTTTTGTTCAGGTGTTTGTGAAATTTTGATTTCGATTTCCCCCCCCTCAAATTTGTTATGATACAAAATTTTACATCATAAAAATATTATAAGAATGATAATTTAAATTATATTTAAAAAATAACATTAAAATAAAACATTTTCTCCTGCCATGTTAACTTGGAAATATTTTCGTTCTGAAACATAAACAAGTTAATAAAAGCTACCGTAATTATTTAAAAATAAATTCCATTGTCTTTATACAAGGGCGATCCCAAAAAAAAGGTCTCCTATATTTTTAGATATACAAAGAACGGTTTATTTTCTATAATTGCTACATCACTTTAAAGATTGAAGAATGCTTTATTTTTCAACATAATCACCATTTCAGTCGATGCATTTTTGTAGACGTTGTGGCAGTTTTACAATGCCCATGTCATACCAGCTTGCCGCCATGCCCTTCAGGAAGCATTGAACCTCATCTTTCACCTCATCATCGGTGACCGTAGTCCAGACAAATGTTCCTTCAACTTAGGGAACAGGTGGAAATCGCTGGGTGCCCGTTGCCGTTTGTGGTCTTCTGTCAGCATACGCGTCACCCATCTTGCACACACCTTCCGATATTGCAACTTTTCTGTTAAAATCCTGTGGATGGTGCTTCTGGGAACCTCAGGAACCAAAATGCAGAGAGCATCCAGAGTGATCCTCCGAATTTTACGCATGAGTTCCTCAACTTTTCGCGATTGTCTCGTCGGCAGTTGACGGCCTCCCGCTTTCTTCGCCATGAATTTCAGTACGACCGGCTGTAAACTCTCTACGCCACTTGCGGACGTTTTTGACATCCATGCACGACTGTCCATAACACTTCCGTCAATAGGCGGTGAATTTCAACCGGTTTAATGCCTTTTGCGTTCAAAAATCGAATAACTGCGCGCACTTCGCACTTGGCGGTAACGTTTGTCGGGAGCTCCATTTCAAATGGCTGCCAAGCCAAGACTGAGCATCCGAGCAAAGCACCTGCGTGCTTATGTGGTAGCGGAGAAGGCACCACTCACAACAGTGTTGCCAACAACTGTATTAAAACTTTCTCTACGTCCCCAAAAAATAAGAGACCTTTTTTGGGGGATTGCCTTTGTATATAGATATTTTCATGCTAAGAGTTTTCCTCATATAATTGTTTCAGATACATATTTAAATCATATCCATTTTATCATGAAAATTCACTTTGCTTTTATATATATATAGAGAGAGAGAGAGAGCTCAGAAGGGCTATTAGTCTCAAAACGGCATTTTGAGTAAAATCACTTTTCAAATTGTTGCCACCAAATATTATCCCCCTGTATTATATTTAAAGAAACTCAATAATGAAGAATCTACATGAATGTGTGTATGTTTCTCGCAATGTGAAAAAACAACGATGCCTAGAGTCAACAAATTTTGAATAGCAAAGTCCTCCACCCGAGCATGGCCATCTGAAAGCCCAAATTTGGAATTTCAAATTTGTTTTATTGTCTATTTCATATTTTGTAAGACTTGAACGAATTTGATTAAAAGACTGAACAATTTCAAAGCGAGCAATGGCAGCAGTGTAGGGAATAAAACATTTTTATATCCAGCGTGCAAGACTGTCTATCGGAATTTCTAAAGATATGCAGTTTTGGAAATCTCTTTAGCACATGGTGTTGTTAGCCTGACTGCTCTCGAAACATGTATGTGTCTGTAAATGAAAATAAGTGCTCATTAGGGAGTAATATAAAATCTGAAAGCTTTCAGTCCCCCCAGCACTTATTAACAGCTGTCATATACCATAGTTTCATGAGAAGTATGTCAACTGAGTAGATTAATCTTTTTGTATAACAAGATGGTTGGCATTAGAAACAGCAAAGGAATTCTTTTTCTTGTAATATTTACTACAGTGTTTCAGTAAAATAGTTCACATTTAAGAGTAAAGTTTCTCAGTTTCAGAATTCCTTTTCTTTTATGAGTAAGTTGACCATTGTCGAAATTCCTCTCAAATAGGAATAAATTCACTTGGAATGTTCTACACAAGTCATACAAGTTGTGAAGTATTTCATGGTTTTTCTTTTTTTGGTAGTTTTAACAACTTCCGGAGTACTGTTCTTTTATAATATGAATTTTATTGTTGATGTGTTATAGCTGTGAACATAGATACTTTATGTCATCATCTAAAGAGAGAGGGCTATCCCTTTCTATTTGTTGAGATCATTTGCTTTCATTGCAAAACATGTATATATATATTTGTAAAGGATGGTGATGACTGGTTTTTGGATTTACTAATTCTGTATTACTTTCCTTTACCATTTTGATTAAATAAGTTTTTACTGAATCTGGAAAATTCCCAAAACTAAAAGTAAAAATGTTTATTCAGAAATAGGGTTAATCTTACTAACCCTTTCTTTTGAAGCCTGTAAATATAATTTCATAGTAAACTTATATCAAAAACTTAAGCAGCAATTAAAATGCCATTTTAACTCTCGACTTCAATGTTGCATCATAGGTACGATATCTCCAGAAATAAATGGCAGGATTTTGTAAGGTCTCCATTAAATATTATGTATTGTATGAAATGGATTGAAAGTACTTTAATTCAGTCACTTAAAGTAGATATGAACAAAAAAGTACGTTTCAGAAAGTGCGCTATTAACAACACAACAGATTCTACTGACATCAGTGTATTAAATTTTGTCTGTGTTTTAGACATCTGGTGTAATGCTTACAGTTTCTTCTGCAATTCTCTCCTTCAGAAGATCAAGATTTTCACTTTTCTTGCTGTAAATCTCATTTTTCACAAAACCCCAAGTTTCTTGTGGCTCATGGTACAGATTTTTTTCTGCCTATCAGCGATTTGGCTCATCTCTGATGATTCATGAAGTATGGTGGTACTTTGCAACATACCACCTTCCATTTCCATTTGCTTATTTTAAGAAAACAGGAAGAAGTCCAAATATGCTTTGAAGTTCGTCATTTATAAACATTTCATATCCACTGAGAAAATATAGATAAATAATCTTTTTAGAATGTTTGAATTGAATATGTTATTTAATTTTGATGTTCTTCATAATTTTCAATCCATTTCGCAGCAGTCATTGTTCAAAGACCTCATGAAATCCAGCCGTACATTTTCGGGGATTACATATTGTGTGCACATATAAATTTGAAGAAATCGACAGTTAGTTGATGATATTACAGTAAAAGAGGGTATTTTTATTGTGCTGATGAAAAATGGAGCATTTGTAATTGCATCCTTACTTTTCTCCCATTTTAGGTAGATTAGTTGATAGCCAAGCTGCTAAACTTGGCAAAGAAGAAATGCTGGGAATGATCAGGCATGGAGCTGACCACATTTTTGCATCTAAAGAAAGTGAGATTACTGATGAAGATATTGAAGCTATATTAGAGAAAGGTGAAAAAAGGGTATGTGTTTTTTTCCCTGTTTTTGTTCTTAATTGTTATTATAGTTCTGTCTATATGCATTGAACTTTCTTGAAAACGATGAAATTTTTAGTTAGTTCTTAAAAATAGAAATTCGTTTTTATTTCTATTCTTAAATCTTCTTTTTCTGATATACTGGTCTTATTAGAAATTTTAAGCTATTAAAGTTTGTTAATTCAATGTTTATTCTGACTTAGACTTTGGAAAACCAAAAGAAACTGGAATCTATGGGTGAAAGCACTCTTCGAAATTTCACCTTGGATGCTCCAGTTGAAAGCGTGTATCGCTTTGAAGGTGAAGATTATCGAGAAAGACAAAAGGTTTGTATTACAGTGTCACTTTTGACTGCTATTTTAATTTTATTTATGTATGCTTAACCAATCATCAGGTATACTACTAGAAATAAAAGTGAACTTTTTTAATTATATGCACTAGTTGTGTCAAAAGGGGGAGAAGTAAGAAAAATATTTTTCGTATTAGTTCAATACCAAGAAAAGTATTCTTTAAGACTAGTTTAACATAAATTGAGCTAATTTTAATATTGATACTTTCAATTAAAATCTTGCTTTTGTTTTGAATTTACGGCAGCAGTATGTTTTTAAAAAGCTTACCTAATGTTTTTTACGGCCATAACTAAAATTAGGAATACAAAAAGATGTAATTATTTGTATTGAAAATTATTATTTTGTTGCAAGGAATTAATTTTTGGTATTGCAAAAATGAACTCTATTCCCCTTCTTCAATTGATAGTTTATGGCCATGATGAATTTGCTGCTGCCGTATATTAAATTCTAATTTAATTTTATTATTTAACCATCCATCTAGGCAGATGCTATTTCCAACTTAATTAAAAATACTTTAAGTGCATTTTAATCATGAAAAGTTGTTTGAAAATATAACTACAGTAAAACCCCGCTTAACGCTGTTTCGGTTTAGCGCTCTTTTATTTCAACCCAGGGATTCCATGAAATCGCTCGCAGCATATGGGGATTCCCCGAAATATTATGCAGCGATAGGTTTCAAATACATATCCGAAAGAGTGTACTTGTATTTCTTGTTTGGTGCGGTATTGTACAGACATATTTTGAAGGGGTAAATGTGGAAGATGTCAAAGAAATAATTCAAGAAGCAGCGGCTAGTCTTTCTAATGATGAGCTCAAGGAATTAACTGAACAAGAAGAAAACAAAAATGTTGACAGCATTGATTCAGAAGAAGAGCAAAAAGAACTTTCGATGGCGTTTGTAAAAAGGAGTTTGTCTACCATAACTGAAATAATGGATCAATTCATTGAAAATGATCCGAATTTTGACAGGAGCTCAAAAGTAAGGCGTGGTGTTAGAGATGCTCTATCCGTTTATGAAGAACTTTTAAGAGAACAACGCAAAAGAAAAAGGCAAACAACATTAGATGCTTTTGTCACAAAAAGGCAGAACACTGAAAACGCAGAAGGCTAACTAAATATGACTGACTTAGAATTTTATTTGTTTTTTTTTTTTTTTTTAAGAATATTCGTTTTGTAATTTATATTTTGTTTTTATTTTTGCAAAAAATAATAATGTGGTATTAATTTGGGCTTTAAGAAATAAATGTTTGGTTTTATTTTTATTAAAAAAACATACTTTTTAAATTTAATACCTAACCAATTTCCTAGCCATCTTCCCCTAACCCCAATATTTACATGTAAAGATAGCCTCGTTTAGCGCTGTTTGGCATTACGCTCTACTTTGATGGAACGTATCCCTCGCGTTAAGCGGGTTCTTACTGTATTCTCTTCTACATATAATTTATTATTAGTATTCACATGATAATTATTTTTTAATGAATATTCTTTTCAGACTGCTGGTATTGGTCACTGGATTGAGCCACCAAAGCGAGAACGTAAAGCCAATTATGCCGTTGATGCCTATTTTAGAGAAGCTCTTAGGGTCAGTGAGCCTAAGGCTCCAAAGGTAAGCATGTTTCCTTTTGCATCTAGTTTGATTAATTTTTAACAAATGTAAGCAATTAACATTTTAATTTGCATTTTACTATTTCAATTACCTAAGGTAGTAGATCATCATAAGATTATCTTATTATGATGATAAGCAAGTGCCTTATCATAAATAAATATCTGCTTGAATAAATTGCTTATTATTATGATATCAGTATTAAGGAATTATGGCTTGATAATAACGGAACTTTCTTATTTAATCGCAATTAAAGAAGCAGATGCTTTACGTAAGGAAAAAATAAATTAATTAATTTTATTTATGGTTGGCTGGCAAGCTTTAGTTTCAGTTATAAACTGTTCATTTATTACATTGTTAGTGATTGTTTGAATTTTTTTAGTATGCTGAAAGATTTTTACATCAGCAACAGAAAATAAAAGTACAGTGCTAGTTTATGTAGTAGCGTAACATTATTAAAAATGTCTGTTTTAAACCAAATTACATGATGTGCTACTTGAATAACTTGATGAAAATTATAGCTTCAGTAGCATCACCTTCACTTTAGAAAAGCATCTTATAAAAAATACTTGATTGTAACATACATGTAGATTAATTTCATACCTTCAGTAGTAATTATAAAAATATAACTTTCAAACAGAGAGAACCACACCAAATGGAAATATAAAAATAGCAAAGAAAGATTTTCTGATTTCTTTGCTCTTGATTGATGAAGAGGGAAGTTGTTGATTTGCTAATTTTATATAATTAAGTGCCCGTGTTAATAAATTTAACTGATTTTTATCCCTAAAACTCCTTTTAAAGGATACAAATTTTTCAGATGTTCTGATTTGGCAAGCAGAGCTACAACAGTATGTGATGCTATTCCTTTGCCACTGCAGTTGTCTAACTCTGTTATTGTTAAAAACTACATACAAAGTTTGAAATTTAGAACTGTGAAAAGAACATTTTTGCTAAATCTGTAACCACAAAACTTGCTGCTTAATTTAAAACAGCTTTGCTGTTATGAATTTACATTAATGAACGAATTTATATTAAAAATTATGCCAAAAATCCCTGAAATTTTTATAATGTTTTTATTACCTACAGACACTACTCACTAGATGTAGCTTTGTAAGGCTAAAAAAAAAAATTTTTTTTGAGGGGGGGAACAAGATATTTATTATGGTTCATGACATTACCCAAGTTAACTCGGGCTTCAATGAAGCAGCCAAAAAAAAAAAGATCTAGTCAAAAGTAATACAAAACTGTAGTCAAGTTAATAAAAGCTAAAGTAAAAATCAAGTAAATATATTTTACGATCTATAAATGTCATTGGCAGTATTCTACAGTCTGAAGCATAGTGCAACACATAGCGGCACATCACATTCTGCAACATCGTGATAATCTGGTAATCTGCATCAACTAACAAAACAAATTTGCACAAGAGAACATTTGGTGTAGCATCAGGGTGCGTGGGTCTAACACCCTACCCCTAATCAAAAACTGAATTTACAGTTCATTTATAATGCAGCCACGTCGCCGACTGCAGCTCAGGGTCATGGAGGAACCAATCGCAAAAGTTGCTTAGATCCCTCCCACAGCTAAGAAAGCGTATATAGCAGAGTGTTGATTGCCACGCGATATTACGAGCGATGGCATTAAATATCCGTAAAATGTTCAACCAACTTAGCTCATTGATAGGAAAATCGAAACATCTATTCCCGAGATATCTCAGGCACAGCCGTTAAGTGGTTAATTATATGTTTTTTTTTATGTATAAAGTAAAGTAGTGTTAATTCCTTATTATTTTCCTTTACTGAAATTGAAAAATATTTTATTGTAACATGAATTTTCTTCTATGACAAATAACATTTTAGCATTTACTTTTGAAACATAACATAAAACAGTTCCAAAGATATAGATTAGACTTTGGTGCGGATTACATATTCTTATGTCATGATGGCTTCAAAAGTCAGTGCACAGTTTAATTTTTCTTTAACGGCATGTATAGCAGAATCTAATTTAAAAAGCTGGGAAAAAATAAAAGTCCCTGCTGCGAATTCAACTTCAAGGTGTTTTTAGGGGAGGTTTCTTAGCGCCTGTCCTCCTAGCTGCAGTGTCATCCGAGTAGCAATGAGATTTTTAGGATATCTTCTTTTTACGAAGAAATGATAAATCTGAGTCATGGTAATATACACTTAATAGAGTATATTAGAGTCTTAATAGAGACTTAATTTTGAAACTGCTGGAGTGGTTTAAAGTTGAGTCATTGAATGTGGGACCATCTAGACAAGGCATGAATTTGTACGTCAGTGTAAACTGATGTAATGTGTACATCAGTGTGTCAGAACAACAATGTAAATTTGTTCAGCAGATTTGCTCACAGAGTGCTTAGGAAATCACTCTTTGGGTTTATCAGCATGCTGCTTTTGATAATCTTCCTCTTTTTTTTTTTTTTTTCCAAGTCAGTTCTTTTCTTTTATAAACATTATAGTCATTGCAACTTTTTGTGTGGTTTTCATTCAGGGAGTTCTTTCTTTCCCTGGTTGGAACACACTTTCAATTTTCATCAAAAAGATATTGATTTTTCCCTCGTTATATAACAGATCTAGAAATGAGTGAGACAAAACCAAGATTGATATATTATAAATTGAAATTAAAGGTTCTGTAAATAATTCCAAGATAATTTTTTTTATTTCAAGTTATAAACCTTCAAATTTAAATGCTTAACATCTAGTTCAGAAGATAAAAGTAACATTGCTTGAACAATCTGCTGTACGTAGAAATGCTAAGTGGAATGAATAACACTGATTATTGTATGTAAATAGTTTATTTTCAGAACAAATTTATGCTGTTAAATTTATTTTAAAATTGGAATAGATGTTGAATTCAGTCTTATTCTGTGTTAAGTTACTCCCTGTGTATTAATTTAGGCGCCAAGACCTCCTAAACAACCAACCATTCAAGACTTTCAGTTTTTCCCACCACGGCTATTTGAGTTATTGGATAAAGAAATCTTTTTCTTTCGCAAACTATTGGATATAAGGTAAGAATTTGTTTGAAATTTTATATAATATCTTGCTTTCAAATTGTTTTTGAGATCTACATTTTAAGCTTTTAGTCATGCTTCTAAGTATTTTTTAAAACCTGTTTTTAAAATTTAAGCATTATTTTACATTTTTGTGTAAATAAAAAAAAATTAGTTCTACCTGGACATTGTTTTACAATACAAACAATGACATTGTTTTTTAAAATGTGTTGGAACTTTTTGGAGCCACAGCTCCTGGTAACTTTTAGGCGAGCTTACTACAATTCGAATTTTAGGTATATATGATGTATTTTAATTTGCAAGTAGAGCATAAATAATTGATCAAAGTATCTAAAAATTCAGCATAAATAATTGATCAAAGTATCTAAAAGTCAGTCTTCCCTCTAGAGAAAGGCAAAATGGAAAAAGGATTTTAATGAACTGGTATTTTGATTTCAAATTATGCAAATAATAGACTGATTTTTTTTTTTAAGATTAAATTTTGCATTTAGTGTGAAAATATGAAATGTTAATATTTCTATTGTATTATCTACTTATGAAATTATCTTGCTTCCTTGATAACTTCATTAATTAAATATAAGCCAATAGTGATAGATCTGTGTATGTTTTAATTACTTTGGTAAGAATGATTCATTTATTTCAAAACAAATTCAGTTTCAGTTAACCATTTCTGAAATGAGATCTCATGTAATAAGAGCTATTGAAAGTAAAATACTGTGCCTCCAGAACTAAAATGGTAAACAAAGAATAATTGTTATTTTTAACTTTACAAAAATAATCAAGTATGAAAAGCAGCAGCTTATGAGGTTTTAAAACAATATGAAAAATTTTTGCATATTCTTATCAATTAAAACATTTAGAAAAGGAGCAAATATGTAAGGGGAGAAATTAAACAGAAGGCTGCTGAGAAATCAAACATTTCTCTTGGTCATAGTGCTAAAAATATGATTATATCCAAATCACCTGTGTCATCATTCAACATGGCTGTGCACTTTTCGGACTAAAGCCTAAAGAAAAATTGCAGGAAAATTACGAGTATGGTAGGCAGGGTTGGATTAACCATTAGGCAATGTAAGCATGTGCTTAGGGCATCAAGGAAAAAGGAGGTACCACAAAAAGTTCCTTGGGTTTCAAGAAAGGAGGCAGCAAAAATTGCTTATTCCCAGTTTTACCATGCAGCTAAACTCAAACCAAGAGATAGCGACAGAAAGAAATGAAGAAGAAACTTTAACATATTTGGGGGGACTTAAATCTTTTATTTAAGAGCTTAGTGCCTCTAAAGGTCTTGATCAAGCCCTGATGGTATGCCATAGATTAAAATAGCAATGTTTGTAAACCAGTCTTTTTTTCAGGGAAATGTAAATGGTTTCATTTATTTAAATATCAGTACATTGAAAAAAGTAACTTTTCCATTAAACATCATCAAAATGAAAATGTTTTATTTTGGCTGCCAGCCCTCGTATAAAATGTGTCAGTTATAGTAATAACCAGAAAATTGCTTTTGTGTGTAAATTATGATTCTAACATACTCAAAGCCAGAAGCATTAAAATGTTTTGGAGATATCAAATGAAAAAGGGAACAACATAAAAACTTACAATGTTAAAAAAAATTACTATTATTGACTATTAAAAGTCACTTTCTAAAAAAATAGTGCAAGTATGCATGAGAACAGTCAGAGTAAATCTTCGTATGGTAGGCCAGAAAAATTTACGCAGCAGTTTAAAAATGCAGGTCAGAAGAGAACTAATTAAATAATATTGTAGTGTAAAGTTTATGTGAACATTTAAAAAAAGTTGTAAATCTTTCATGCTGTTACCTTTTCTAATCAATCAAAAAATGGTGCTTAACTGTATAATGTACACTGTCAATGTCAATAATAGCATCCATTGTTAATATTTCTTGCAAATCTAATTCTTTATTGTAAGTTTTAATTTTTTGTAGTGCTTTATCTCTGATTTCATGCTGTCTCAAATTTTAGGTTCCCAAAAATCCTGATCTGGGACCAGATGCTGCAAGATTTCAGAAAGAAGAGCAGGAAAAAATAGATGAAGCTGAACCTTTGACAGAAGAAGAAGTTGCTGAGAAAGATCGTTTACTGACTGAGGTATTATTGTAGTTGTCTTATTTAATGCTAGGTTATAGAATTCGCTGTTGATTGTGGTATTAAATTTTAGAAATCTTTATTTTATTATTAAAAATATTCAATATTCATAACCATTTTATATTATTTTTCATATTGTAAGCACATAAAGGGATGTAAACATATTTATTAATTATAATTGAATTTTTATTTTCCTACCAGGGTTTCACAAATTGGTCTAGGAGAGATTTCAATCAGTTTATTAAAGCTAATGAAAAGTATGGGCGTGATGACACTGAAAGCATTGCTAAAGAAGTGGAAGGCAAAACACCAGAGGAGGTAAGAGTGCAATTCTCTCTTCTTTCTTCATCTCTGTAACACTTTGGCGGTTGCAAGGTTAAGCAATTCTTTCTTGCCAAATATATGTGATATCTGTCAGTTATAAATTTTTAATGCAAGTTGTGTTCATTTGTGCCCTCTGCAATATGTAATTGGAATGCGAGCTAAGCTCGTTAAGAACCATCAGAAGGTTAAAAGTTTTAATTTTCCCCATTGTATTGCTTTTCATTAAATTTTCCCCATTATATTGCTATTCATGAGAACATATTGCAAAGTTCAAGTATTTTTCTTTGTATCTTTTAAACAGTGTACTCTTTCCTCTGGAACTTTTCAAATATATTACTTTTATTATATTAAAATATATTACTTTTTTGAATTAGATACATGATAAATTTAAAGCTATGAAAATTTTGGGTCATAAATCTAATTCTCCAACAGTTTTCATTAGTCAATATTTTAGATATTCTTTTGGTGTACTTAAGATCTTTTTAAGGGAAACAGTTACTTGTCATAAACCTCTAGCTGCAGAGCTGTGGACAGAAAATATTAGCAAAGGGAAATATGGTGTTTCTTTAGTTAAAGTAGAAAAATAATTTACGCTATTCATGTTAGTTATTGGGCTATTAAAAGTGTACAATCAAGAATTTTATAGATAGTTACCATTATTAATATGTCTTACCTATCTGCTTTAAAATTAATTATAGTTAAAAATTTATTCACGATACACTTCTGCCAGTTTTCACAAGATTGCTATAAATTGTGAAAATGAAGTAGAGTATAACTGTTTCCTTCTCATCTATTGTAGCTGTTTATGGTTAGTTTTTATGCCAGTTCAGGAAACATAAAATATAGTATGGTGTTAAATCTGAAGAATAAATTTGATAAAATTATGTACAAGTTTTATATCTTATTTGTGCTGTAACTAAAGATTTTCAGTGTTAACTTCTTGCGCTGAGTACACTAACTGGAAGAACTTGCAGTGTTTATATTTTCGAAAACTTCAGAGAAATATGCCATCGATTACAATTAAATGTCAGTAATTTAGTCATTGTCTGCACCGATAGTACACCCTCCAGGAGAGGTAAAGAAGAAGGATTCGTTGCTTTATTAAAAAATTAAAACTTGAAAACATTGATATTATTTCACTGCATTTTGCATCAGCAAGATCTTTGTGCAAAAGTAACCATTTTGCAAGACACTCAGGATAGAACTATTTCCATTTTCAACTATATTCGTGTAAATGCAGTGCATCATCGTGAATCTCGGTATGTGCTAAATTTCGTCGAGGAAACGTACAGTGTTGATCTACCATACTAATGCAAGGTTTACTGGCTATCAACAGGGCAGGTTTTGATAAAAGTTTTAACTTTACGACCACAAATTTTAAACTTTTATCAAGAACAGAAAAACTAAATGATCTGTCAGATGAAGCATTTTGCAGAAACATTGCATTTTTGTCTGATTTTATGACAAAACAACACAGTTAAATAACTGCCTGCAAGGTAAAATGAAGCCTATATGAAATGTGGCAAAAGATCCAAGCATTTTGGAAAAAAATTAATATTTTTCAAAACATTGCTCTCATGCTTTGAATATATCTACAAAACACTTCCCGGGGCTAGTAAAAAGTGCTGAATAAGCAAAAGTGTAAAAATAAAACATTCAGTCAATATGTAAGTGTCTTGGGTTTTTTAATAGAAGAATGAGTATACTTATTAAAATGTTTGTATATTTTGCATCTAGGTCATCGAATACTCTCAAGTATTTTGGGAAAGGTGTCATGAGCTGCAAGATATTGAAAGAATTATGGCTCAGATTGAAAGAGGTGAAGCGCGCATTCAGCGAAGAGCTAGTATTAAAAAAGCTTTGGATGCAAAGGTAATGAACCTTCTATATTTTATGAAGTTTTTTAAATATAATTCACACTTAGACTCTATTAACAAACCTCATTATTAATTACTCATAGGCTCAATGTAAGACCCCTGGTGGCCGAACGTTTTAAGTCACTGAACACTGGTAGTTTGACCTGGATTCGAAACCAGGCAAACAGGCTGGTCCTCATTTGTAATGTGGATCTGAGCTGGTTTCCTTTAGAAAGTTTTCCACAAAAGCATCTCTTCCTTTAGGCAGATAGTCATTGTGTGCTTTGCCATAATCAATAAACCAAACTGTATTTTCAGTATTTATAATAAAAGGTGAATTTCACACAAAACCTTTTTGCAAACCATTCTTCAACATGTATGAACCTTAAACAGTTTGGGTGTGAATTGCACAACTCTGCTTATATGCGAATTCTGATAGTACTGAAAAATATTTTGGATGTTTTCCTCAAATTGGGAAAGCTTGTAGATATAACTAAAAGTATATCATGTAAGTTATGCATTTTTAAATATGTGTCGGATGCTAGTTAATGTTACCATTTATGATCATGAAATATGCAGAGATTTGTTTAGCACCTAAAATGTTTATTGACAAATGTATAGCCAGGTAAGACAATTGTAAGTGCAATGCATAAATTTAGTATGATAAATGTACTATAGTATGGTAAATGCATTGTGTGATGTTTTTTTAATAACTATTAAAAAAAGTGACTAATTTGTTTTTGGAATAATTAACCTGCAATAATATTAGATATGTAACCCCGTTACAAATCTAATACATATTGCATGTAAATTAACTGTGTATGCTATTGCTAAGTCTCCACTCAGTTAAGAAGGAGGAAGGTATTAAAGAATGCTGATTTCTGACAATATGAGAATGCACCTCGCATGTTTTTCGAATGTTAACTGTACTTAAAATGTATGTGGCTTGAAACTCAGGTCCCCTCTCCACTTCTATACCTTTTCGAAAGTTATAGAAGGGTACTGAAATTAATATTTCGTTGAAAATAATTTGAGAAAAGTAAAGTTCATCTATAGCCATCATTTATTTTTGTTTTATTTATGTATTGCAGCAATAAAAATAATTGTCCGACATTATTTTTATGGTGAAATTCATGTTTTTGCCCACTTTGAGTGAAGTTATCTCTTCATATTCTAGGGAAAAGGGGGAAAGAAAGATTTACTTTATTTGGGCAAGAAATTAATTTGTAAATAATCTTGAGTTAGATTGGTGCTTGTATTAGCAGTTTTTGTCTACTCCTGTTATTAACCCATTCACGACGGGCACCTTTGTTACCGAAGGGTTCTCTTGGGACGGCGCGTTAACTGGATACGTTGTAATTCGCGCTGCTAAGCCTAACTTTGGAAACAAATTCCTATAAATTAAATTTGTTGTTCAATTGTTCCAATTTTTGGTACATTATGAGAAGAACATTCAGGCTGTTGTCAGAGTTAATTTTAAATCTTTATTGTTATATTTTCCTTAAAAATTTTATAAAATACTCATTCTAGAATAATATGATTTTTCTTTCATTCTGCAATTAAATATATATATGGGAAAATGTCCAAACAATCGCAGATTTTATTTTAACACAACACATAATTAAAATTTTAAAATATTAAAACTGTCTTTCATAAAAATTCAATATGAAAACAACGAAAAGGAAGCAATATTTCAAAAAAGAGACAGTGTATGATATTTTTTTAAACATTGGTGTACGCGAAGTCCAACGTTGCAAATCTCACAGGAATAGAATATAAGCAAATTTGACTCATTTAGCATTTGTGTAGCATCTACGGTCAGTAGCACTTTTGTTTTGCCGTTAAAAAAATAGAGCACCAGCAGTGGAACAATAGCAAAAAAACTTTCACTAAACCATACAAAATATTCGTCTCAATGCCAGAAAAATCTGAGAGTAATAAAAAAGTCTCTAATGATAGAACATCTACTCCAGTATACGGGGATAAAAAAATAAAATTAATTAAAATCAAAAGTATTCCAGAGCATCGAAAACATATTCACTTGTTTATATGAAATGACGCAGTAAGAGCCGCCATCACTTTACTCAACACTAACGAATTAGCATTTGTGTATATTCTTCTACATTCAAATTCCTATATCATAAAAATAAAAAGTACCTCAAAGCATCGAGAACACGTGCATTTGTTTATATCAAATGACGCAAAGAGACGTTACATTGCTCAACACCCTCCTACGAATCTCCCTCTCATTCCGAAACAAATACCAAAAATAAAAAACATTGCATAGGAATGAAGGTACACATACTTAACTTTCGATATATTTTCCCATAACAGGCATACAACTACATCTAGCAGCCACAAAAAATACTAATTAAACGTTCTATCTAAAAAGTCAAATGTGGTATGCCCGGCCATAGAGTGAATTAAATGGCGACTCGAATATGACGCACCCAGCCGTGAGGTAATGTTCGCTGCTGATGCACATATAACACGCCCGTACTGAACGGGTTAAGCAACCTTTAGAGCAAGGGTGTCTAATGTGCAGCCCAAAAGTCTTTGAAATGCGGTCCAAGCGCAAATTATGAAAGTATTTAAATTTATACATTTTTATTTAAAAAATAAATGTTTGAATTTGATTCATATATAATCGATTCATTGACGTTTATTTTAAAATAAAAATTTAAATAAAAACATCTTAGTATGTCATGATGCATTAAATGCAAAGTGACATTTAACTGAAAGAAAAATTTCAAAATGTTTCTTTACTGGAGTTATAAAGATTACCTACTCTGCAATAAATATCCTAATTTTCACAATCATGCTTTATTAATGTGTTCAGCTTTCGGCAGTAATTATATTTGTGACCAATTATTTTCAAGAATGAAGCATACAAAAATAAGACAAAGATTGTATAGCTATTAGGTTATTTGGAAGCAAGAGACAAAAAATGAGCAACGCCTTTGTCGGGAATCGAAACATGGACCTCTGAAATATGCGCCCAGTGTACAGACCACTACACCATGAAAGCAGGAGAAATACCTTATATACTCGTCCTATTAAAAGGCGACTGGAGATTAGGGGACCCAGGCGCCAAATCTTGGTGGTGGAGAATCATCATCCACCACCTTTTTTAGTTCGGGTGCTACTTGTAGAGCTATTAGGTAATTTGGAAGCAACAGACTTTGAAAAATTATCAATGCGTTTGCCGGGAATCGAACCACAGACCTCTGGAATATGGCCCAGCGTGCAGACCACTGCACTACGAAGGCGGGAGAAATACCTAATAAGATCACTGACAAACATATTGAAAATGCATTTAGAATTGCAACCTCGTTTATTGAACCTGATGTCCATTTGCTTGTTCAACAAAAGCCAATTCATCCATCTCTTTAATTTCAATTTTTTACATCTTTTTGAAATCCAAACTAAATGAAACAAAACTTGTACAGATTAAAAATAAATATGTACCTATACATATCTAATTCTAATTTAAAAAATAATAATAAGAAGAATTTATTTTAATAAAAGAACATAGAGCTAATTTTTATTTCAATTTGTTAAAAAATATTGTATGTGTGACCCGGCATTTTTTTTTCTTCTTTGCTATGCGGCCCTCAAATGGTCATAGTTTAGACACCCATGCTTTAGAGCATTATTTTAAGTATAGCACCATAAAGCAGTCTTTTGTGTTTGATTTACTTGTAGCATAATCAGATTGTTACCAATTCATGTAACTTCTTAAAATGTCTTTTGTAAACACTATAATGTTTTTAATGCTTTTTTCCTCCTTATTAATTACAGTTTTTGTTTATATGGTTGTGTGGTAATTTGCTCTCAGAACATTTTCAGTTTTATCTAGCTTCTCATTCTTATTTGCGTATATTCAATTTTAGATGGCTCGGTATCGGGCTCCATTCCATCAACTCCGAATTGCTTATGGAACAAATAAAGGAAAAAATTATACTGAAGAAGAAGACCGTTTCCTTGTGTGCATGTTACATAAATTGGGTTTTGACAAAGAAAATGCATATGACGAATTGCGTTCGGAAATTCGAAAGGCACCTCAGTTCCGTTTTGATTGGTTCATCAAATCACGAACTGCTGCAGTAAGTAGTGAAACACCAATTCTGATTTTATCACTGTATTATATTGTGTTGAGTGGAAATATTGCTTACATCTAGACTTGAGTATAATGTAATTTTGTTTTGTAATAATTTAAAACAATTAAATCACATTATCTTCTAATTTCTGCAGATCACTGCTCTCTGCAGTGGGTTTAATCCAGGTTGAAAAGTTAAATTCCTATAATTTGTTACGAGAGTATTTTTGATGTCAAATATATCAAAATTTAAAAACAAAAGTAAAAAAATTTCCATGAATTTCATTAATTTTGACAATTATTAAAAATTTAAAGCTGTGCAAATTAAAAATCTATGGAACATATCCGAAACTGATAATTATTTCGTCTTTAAAAAAAAAAAAAATTTTTTTTTCACTGTTAATTTTTTTAACTGTTAACTAAACTTTATTTGTAAAAATATATATTATTTATTATTTTGTGCTTCATTTAAAGGAATTGCAACGGCGTTGCAATACATTGATTACGCTGATTGAAAGGGAAAATCAAGAACTTGAAGAAAAAGAAAAGGCTGAACGAAAGAAAAGAGGGCCCAAACCTGGCATTCCAAAAGTATGTGTTTATATACATATGTGTGTCTATATGGTGCATATATCCTCTAAAATTCAGTATATCTTTCTGTATGTTCTAGTTGATATGTCTTTTATTAACTACTATTCATTCTTAAAACATGGCTTTTAAAGATTCTTAAAACTTTAAGCAGTTTATATGGCAAATGGTTGACAGACAGCCATTTAGTCAGGGTTGCCACGCTACCTGGAAAACCGGGAGAACTGGGAAAAGTCAGGGAATTCGAAAATTGACCAAAAAATTCAGGGAAAAGTTAGGGAATTTAAGTATTTTTGTCAAAATCTGGAAAAGTCAGGGAAGTTCATACAATGATCCCGCCAAAAAAAGCGATTTTTTGCGCCGACGTCGGAAGAGATAACTTTTTTGGCGAATTGCGTATCACGCGAGTGTCATTCGGGCAGCTGGCATAGAGCCAATTTTCGAAGCTCCAATTTGATTGTCTTTTAGAAAGGCAAAGCAAGTTTCCTGCAACTTTTGGTTTCCAGTATTCTCGAGAATCGCATGTGCAATGCATGAACTAAAGAAAGTACCTGTTCTCGTATAAAACAAAATGGGTTTAATCTTAGTATACGGTACCATGTAGGTTAGAATCAAAGAAAATATGTATTGTAAAGAAGGAAAACCTCTCTGCAACAGACGTGGCTCCATTCCATCATAGAGGGAAACAGCTGTGCATGCGTGATATATCTGCTGCCAAAGCTCTAAACCGGTGTCGAAGTTCGAAGGTCATGTTATCAAGAGTTCATTAAACGAATATCCTTTAAAATTTCTTTAACCACTTACGCTAAAAAGACGAGCCACGCACGTCGAGATGTTTTTGTCTCAAATTGTGAGCGACGTGAACACCACGTCGATAAGCATTTATCGCAAAAATGAAAATAACATGGTGCACACGTCACCTAACAACGAGATTGTTTATTTCTCAAGTTACAGCTCTGGATTGCACTCGCAGACGCGCAGCGTAAATGAGACACTTTACCGTTTGCTATATTGTAGCGCACAGCACCGCAACCGTGAAGTTTAGACTTAGCGCAAGTGGTTAAACTCTAAAGGAAAAGAAAATATTTTTTGGCGCAAGTAAATTAATTCATGGGTTAGTAATTTTCAGGGGGAAAAAAACTACGAAAATCCGTTTTTAAAATTATTGCGAAAAATCTAAGAAGAAACGTCCTTTGATAAAACCTTTCTTCTTGGATTTTTCGCAATAATTTAAAAACGGATTTTCGTAGCTTTCTTTTTGTCAAAGAACGTTTCTTCTTAACACGTTTCTCAATTTCTGGTACACATCGCGGAGAGGGAAATTCTGGCCGCCAGGTTCCGTCGCCAAATCCCTTCGCATATTTTCCCTCCGCATTCTAGCGGCGTAATAGCATTTTACTTGTATGGAACCTTTTCTTCTTTACATAGACCAAAGAATTAGAGATTCTTTGCATAGACGTTCTTTGGTTAGAATAATCTCCATGTATGGTACAATGGGATTTGGCGACATGATGCGCAGTAAACGGGTCATTTTGGTCTTGGTGACAATTTTCAAAATCGTGCCAAAGTCTTACCGTATACTAGAATTTTACCGCAAAATCTTTTTAAGCTTTTTTTTTCTTTTTAATAAATACCTTGCCATTTTGCAGTAAAATAAAAAAATAGTAATCTGTCATCTAGGCTAACCATGTAATATAACTATATTCGCTAAAATATCGTTGATTATTCTAATTCAATTTTTAAGTAATTATCTTTATTTTTATGTTATTCGTATAATTTAATGATGCTTCTTCCCTCTAAATTTATTTATTATTAGTAAATAATATTTCCAAATTTCAGGAAATTTTCTCTGGCATAATCTTGAAATTAATTCTATCAGTATGATGACATACCATCACGAAATTTAATGCACATATTTTTTCCTTATGTATTGTTTGCGAAATAAAATATAAAATACCTCAATTTATTAAAATAGATTTCTTTCTTTCTTTCGTTTAGCTGCAGAATGTCTGCAAAAATAGCCTTATTTATTCCAGATTGGGAAGATTCTAATCTCAATCTTCAATGGAGAAAACAACAACTATTATAATTATATTTGTGTTTTCAAGTGTTAAGGTGCTTTTTAAGAACATACCTCACACAAATTAAATTTACCTAAAATCTAACCTAACTATTTAGCATTGAGTTGTGATTTATAAGGACCGGATTAGCCTCGTGTTGAACTGGTGATGATCATGAGTAATAATTAAATAAAACATACATTTGTTATCCAATTTATATATCTTAAATTAAGTTTCTTTAAGTGGAAAAGTAAACAAAATTATCAATTAGCATTGAGTTGTGATTTATAAGGACCGGATTAGCCTCGTGTTGAACTGGTGATGATCATGAGTAATAATTAAATAAAACATACATTTGTTATCCAATTTATATATCTTAAATTAAGTTTCTTTAAGTGGAAAAGTAAACAAAATTATCAAACAAAGTATACCAAGAATAATTAAGAATAAATGTCCTCTGGGATTTATTGAATAATTAAGTGAATTTGCTACACAATACAAGTAATACCATAATTAATTTACCTCTTAGCGTAGCCAAAGTACATTACGCGGATAGACTGGAATTTTCTTGAAACACACCTGGAAAAGTCAGGGAATTTCATTCTCCTGTTTGAGTGGCAACCCTGTTTAGTTGAGATCAACATGTCCTGTGTATCCATCCTACCCGTAAAATATGCAATGTGGATAATTAATAGCAATTCTCCCAAGAGATTACATCCACTTATCTTTTCTATATACAGGGTAGCCTCTTTGTCATTTAAAGATGCTTTTGTGTTTCATTTTTTAATTTATGGTTTCCAGTATGGTCTTCTAGAGAGACCTAAGAAGGCATTATTTTTTCAAGGTGAAATAAGGGAGTTCAAGAGACATACTAGAAAAATTTAGTTCCTGAGCACTTTTTAAGCAAATTGAATATTTAAATATTCAATCTGATTGCGCACATTACATCTATCAAGTTAAAAAAAGAATCAAAGAAACATGCTAAATGATAACAGACAGCTTTTATGACTAGCATTTCAACTTACTTTACCAAAAATATCATCTGCCTGTACACAATGTTTTTTGCACAGTTAATCGTTTTCTCTGATTCTGTATATCAGTTGTCGTGGATTTTCAAACTGAGCAAAGAATAGTAACAAAGTTCTGTTATAAAGTAAGGGGGAAAAAAAAAGCAACAGAGGTATTTGAAATGGTGTAAAAAACATGAAGATGTTAATGACAATCCCAGAGTAATCACCCTTCACTATCTTGAATGGATTTTGTTGCTGAAAAATTCAGTTGTCTCTTTGAATGATAGCTGATGAGCTCAATATCATTTAAGACACTGCTCATAAAATTATCATAGATCTTGAAAAACAGAAAAAAGTTATTTTGTCCTTGACATATTAACTGCATTGAATTCTATGTGTCATGATTTGATCCAAATGGTAGACTGTGGCAAAAAAACGCATATTTGTTTCAGTTGGAAAAGATTCACTTGTTGCAGAAAGTTTGGTTTCAGAAATCCTGAGTAGAAAGTAGTGATGGCAACTTTTGGTTGGAATTCATGAGGATTTTGTTTTAGCCCAAAGGGCATTAGCCCAGAAAGGCTATTAATTTTATCATTTTGTGTTGATTCACTATAAATGGCAAATCACTTTTTAAATTGTTGCCACCAAATGTTAAAGCCCTATATTATATTTAAAGAAATTAAATAACAAAGAATCTGCATAAATGTATGTATGTATGTATGTGTCTTGCTTTGTGATAAAACAACGGTACTTAGAGCCGTCACATTTTGAATAACTTAGTTTTCCAACCCAACATGACCATTTGGAAGCCCAAATTTGTTTTATTATATATTTCAGATTTTGCAAAACTTTAACAAATTCAACGATTTCAAAACAAGCAATGGCAACACTGTATTGGGGGGGATTATCTCCAGCACACAAGTCTGTGTATCAAAAATTCTAAAGACATGCTCTTTTAAAATTATTTTGTGATATTAATTTTATGGTTTAAGTGCGAAGAACATAATATTTACTAAATAAAGGTAACACACAAAACTTTAAAAAAAAAAAGCCTCTGGGGGCATAACACAAAATCTGAAAACTTTCTGTCCCCTCCCCTTCTAGTTTTCTTCATAACATTACTTTAGAAGGTGCTCATAAATATTGTATACTTATGATAACTTCATATTTAAGAGAGACAGCCATTTAGTTGGAAGAAAGGCTGTATCATCATAAACGACACGCTTGAAAATGCCGAAAAAAATAATTAAATTGCGCAGGAATGCTCCATCAGCATTAATGTCATGCTAAGTTAAATTGTACACAACATCAGTTATGAAAAATGCAGGAAATTAAACATATTTCAAAAATAAATTATAGATAAGAAATGTTAAAAATATACTTAAATTCTCAAATATGTTTATATTTATTCACTAAAGAAGTCCATAAAAATATCACAACTATGAGATATTATATTGAATGGCAGAAGAAAAACTCATACAAAGCTATCAAATCTGATTATTCACTATCTGGATTAAAAAGATTTAACAAATTCTAATCTAAATTAGGATCTAAATAGTCGAAATCTGACAAATCATCACATTCTTCCTCTTGGTTTTGCAGTCTATTTATGGGGATATAATTTCAGCTTCTTTGAGTCCTGATATTATTCACTGCTTTTCATAGATTTACATAAGCTTCCTGTTTTTGAATTTCTTCATAAGATGCTGTTCGCATTTTGCCACTTGTGATACAAGTGTGTAATCCTTCATTTATCCAACATTCCCACCACTTTCAGGCTTCAGCTTTGAAGGATTAACTTATTGATAAATATAATGGGTGTAAGATTTTTGGCAAAACACTAGGTGTTATTACTAGGGTCATAGACAATTTTTTATGTCTGGTTTTCACCGTTTTTATGTCTGGTTTATCAACAATCCTTTTGATTGGGGGGGGGAGATCTCTTTTGACACTGCCAAACTTCTGGTAGCCTCTTATGCATGATTGTTTTGCACATCTATTCATTCTCATGTACACAAATAAATATGTCCTTAGGAAAATTTCTCTTTAGAATAGTTTTCTTTTTTAAATGATCGTCAAATTGTCGTTACTGTCTTTTTAAAATGATCATCAAATTGTCGTTACTGTACTGTTCCAAGATCGCATTTAGGTTGAAAAGGAACATAGGTCTGTTCAAGGAAAAAAATATAAATGCAAAAAGTTCACATAGAGCAACTGGTTGGTCTTGTGTGTGGGAGCAACTCCAAGTTATCTCAGCTATTTACAATGGCATTTTAGGAAATATTTTTTCAAGTACAAATAAGTATCTTATCAGTAGAAATGCTGCAATGTTTTTGGCGAAAATTACGCTATTATTTTTCTGCTTTTTAGATATTAAATTTGTCACAAATTTTTATATTACATCATATTAATTTATTATTTTTATTTAAATCACTGCTACTTAAAAAATGCAAGAGACAAAAGTGTCATATTATTAGTCTAAAGAGGCAATTTGCCCTCAAGAACTATTAATTTCGTTTTGGCATTTTGCATTGTTTCACTTTTCAAATTATTGCCGCCAAATATTATCACCCTGTATTATATTTAAAGAAATTAAATAAAGAAGAATTTCCGTGAATTTATGTATGTTTCCCGCATTTTGATAAAACAATGGTACGTAGAGCCATCAAATTTTGAATAATGTAATCTTCCACAGAATATGGGCAGGAGGAAGCCCTAATTTGAAATTTGTTTTATTATCGATTTCATATTTTGTAAACACATCAATGAATTTTTTATTAACAAACTAAATTATTTCAATGTGAGCAATGGCAACACTGTACGAGGGGGGAATTATCTCCAGCACACAAAACTGTATCGGAAATTCTAAAGATATGGTTGTTTTTAAATTATTTCGCGATATTGCTGTTGAACTGAATTTTATGGTTTGAGTACGTAGAACATGATATTTAATAAGTTAACACGCAAAATGTTAAAAAAAACACCCCTTTGGACGTAATTTAATATTTGTAACCATTCAGATTTTTGATTCATTTTTTACTTATTACATTGAATGTATGCAGAAGACTTGAAGCCACTGTTAGGAACAGAGCAGCACAAAGCCTGAAATATTTTTGACATGCAAGTACTATTTCATGATTTACTATTATAACTAATTGAAACATACCAATCATATTAGTGATATTAGTTATGAAAATAAGTTTGCTTTGATTAAGTCTGAATATAAAATAAATATTCAAAACTTTATAAGATCTATGATCTTTAACAAATTTCTAAATCATTTTTATATTTCATTGCCTTTTCCCAGTGTAAAAATAAATCATGTTCATTATTTTAGAAATTCTGAAGTGTCAACATGAGAATTATTTATTATGATATGTTTATGTTACATTAATTTTAATAGGGACCACAGAAAAGAAAATCGGATGGAATACCTGATGGTAGAGGAAGGAAAAAGAAAAAGTAACCTCGGATCCTCGTACTTCATTTTATCATTTCTTTTCCTTTAGTTAAATTAGTTTCACTTAAAGGAAACATGGACTTTGAAGTACCTCTTTTGTTTTTAAATGTAAAAGGCTCCTCTTAAATTGCCTCCAGTTGAATTGGAAACTGCTAATTTATTGGCATCATTTTGTAAACAATTGGCATAACCATTTTGTATAGTTTTACATTATATTTTAATGTATTAATAAAGTGTAAATTTTGTTTTTGATTATCTGGTTTAGAACTTTTTTCTTGTCTGTAAATGTGTACAAATGTTTTCTTTTTGTTGTTTAATTTTCATTATGTATTAAAAATATGCAGAGTCAGATTTTAAAATATGAAATTTTATTGTTACTTTTTCATGATGAATAACTGGATATCTTTCAATATATAGAGGATAAAGCCTAAACATCAATGTAATATTTGATGCTTATCAGTTGAAGTAAATTGTCTTATTAATTGTTTGATTTTAAACAGCTTGTCAGTTAATTTGTTTTGGGGAATCGAGCTAATTAAACAATTAAAAGATTTTTAGTCTCTTCTTTACATTAGCTGATCACCAAATCTTATAAAAGTATTAATAATAAATTATAGTTTAAAAAAAAACCTATAATCTAATTTTTCATTTACTTTATTCTTTGTTTAAATATTATTTATGAGAGATACCTTGCTAAAAATATGTGTGTTGGTCAATAAACCTTTTGATTTCTTGAAATGTTAATTTTTAGTTGAAAAATTTAAGCAGTTGATGAATAAAGGGTAATATTAATTTCAGAAATATTTAAATTCATGAAATCACTACTTGTTCAAAATGAGATTAAGAAATGTGAGGTTATTTATGTATTAGTTTTTACTTTTAAATGCTCAAATTTGTTTTCAGTGTATAATTCAGTCTCTGTCGTGAATGAGTGTCACAAGTTAAAACTTTTCATAGAAACTATTATTTTAAAATTAAAATTTAAAATTGTATTCATTAAATTCTCTGAATGTGATTACTAAGATACAAGATTTAACATGCAAATACATCAGTTCCAAAAAATATATAATGAAAAATTGTGTATAAAAGCAAAATATTTGGAAAAATTTACTTAAATTTTCTAAAATTAGAAATACGATTTGTGGTTTATTACTGTAGTCTTCATTGAGTAGAAAGGATAAATAGGTTATACCAGTGATTCTGAAAGTGTGTATTGTAAAGCTTTATAGCTGCGTCCTGAAGAAAGCAAAAATATTTTTATTGTATTGGGAAAATAAGAAGTATAAAATAGTATGTTATGAATAAAATTTTAGCCAACTAAAAGAAGAATTTTAGTGCTTAGACCCAGATAATTTAGAATTAGACTAGATGTTTTATACGGTGTATCGAAATTTTCAAAGTGTTTATTGGTAATTTTTTAAGCAAGTGTATTTTTTAATTGAATGATGTCTCGTGTTTAGGCAAAAAGATATGCTGGATTGAAAATTTGAATAATTTTTTATGCTAAAAATATAGCAATTTGTACGTGAATGAAACTGGATAGTTTAAATTCATGCTTAGTAAATAAATGCAATTCCAAGTATATGCAGATTACAGGTACTATCTTTCTTCAGTTTACCTGCCCATGTGTAATATTTGTATATTTTACCCATACTGAACTCCTGTAAAACTTTCTAACTGGTTTCTGCACACTTGTGTTTCATCTTAATTAATAAATACTAAAAGTCAGTGTTTGTTTAAAATGTCAAAGTTTGAATTTTGTTATTAATTATTGTAAATTAATGTACATCTGTTAATATTTTTCACCTCCTCAAAACTTTGTGCGTGTGAGCAATGTTTTCTTTTTATACACTGAAAAAAAAAAATTAATTGTATCTTTGCATTAGATGCTTAAAAAAATCATTGTCTTAATACTTTGTGAGCATTAAATAATGTTTTTGTAAGTTAGTAGACCCATACTGATACATCTTATGCAGCTTTGAAAATTGCATCCCCTAAATATTTTATATTCACGTTTACACATTAATATTTAAATCATTGTAATCAAATTTGTACTTCCTTCAATTTCAGTCTATAGAAAGTATCTCATTTGTTCTGTTATGGGCATGGCAACCTTTTCAATGCATATGCTGACTGCTCTCACTAATTGCAGAGAATCATCTACAAAACTGATTGTATTGAAACTAGATCCATGAGAAAATCTGTATGTTATTCACTAGTTCTTTTTAAATATTGCTTTTTTAGGGCAGGTTTGATTCAGTTTATGCCAGTCATGATTTAGAAACATCCTGCATAAATTAGAACAAAAAATATAGTAAATCATATCTAAGCATTTTCATTGATCGATTTTTAACCACTTGTGCTACGACTAAACTTCACGGTTGCAGTGCCATGCGCTACAATATAACAGGCGGTAAAGTGTCTCATTTACGCCGTTCTGCGTCTGCGAGTGCAATCCAGAGCTGTAACTCGAGAATAAACAATCTCGTTGTTGGGCGACGTGTGCACCACGTTATTTTCAGTTTTGCGATAAATGCCTATCGACGTGGTGTTCACGCCGCTCGCGGTTTGAGACAAAGGCATCTCGACGAGCGTGTGTGGCACGTCTTTTTTAGCACAAGTGGTTAATATGTGTTCTTTTCTATGAAATTTAAGACAGAAAATTATTCACTTTTTCCTCAAAAGAAAATATGGGATGCTAGAATGTTTTTTTTGGGGGGGGGTGTTTGTTTGATAGATGACCCTTATCCCCATGATAATAAATTAGAGTAGCTAATAAAAACTCTTATTTCAGCTTTCTAGTGATTAGAAAAGGAAGATTATTATTTATACCTGGAAAATAGCATCAATAACAAAAGTTTCATGGACTGATTTTGTTCTTAATGCGTTGACTGCCGTTTCAGAGCCAGCTTCGCATCTCTCTTCAACTTTCTTTTATATACTGAGATTATCAAACAAATTGCTTTGTGTTTTCAGGCTCTTGCAGTTCAGTGCTGCAGAATAATAGATTTTTTCTTGACATAGAGTTTCTCCTAGGAGACTTGTAAGGTAGTAAGGGGAAATGTTCAAGGCATTTAGAAAAGTTTAAATCTTAGAACTGCAAGCTGTAGCCTTGAATACGTGATGTGGTTGAGCCCGTCCAGAACATCTGCAGTCAATGCAGGAGTAGTCGTGTTGCTGTTTGTCGCTCACAATCCTCATCCTAATTATTTGTCAGGCAAAATTTTCTTCTATTCTCTTGGGAATGTGTTGCAGAGAATTTGCTAAATGTTTCTGTTAGGACAAAGTCCAAAATATATGAAAATAGTAAAGAAAATATATACAAATATATGCATGTATACTTTGTATCTCAATGTTTAAACCCTTTAAATCTTGTGTTGAAAGCTATCCTCCATAATTCTCAAGAAACTCATTTGTGTTACCAATTTCTGTATCTTAAAATTTTACGTATGTTGCCACTTTTGTGTTGTATTTTTTTGCACTGGTGCATGATGGTGATGTGCTTTTGGGTTGTTTAGTAGATTCAAGCCAAAGCTTATGAAAAAATGTAATTTCATTCATGATTTCAGTAACTTGTTCTGTAATGGTTTTTCATTTTATTATTTTTTAATAGGTCTTGTGTGTATTTAGTATTGTAATTTTCTTGAAGAGTTAGGATCTTGTGTGTTTAAAATGGGATACTATGACTCATGCCCTATGCCAGGTGTGATCTGAAAGGGGAACAGAAGTGGAGTTTGCAAAATTTAGTGAGCTTAAACTGAATCAACCTGTACTTCATTTTGTTATATGTTATTGTACAAATTTCTGTACTAGGTATATTATCTTTGAAATTCCAGTGATAATTCGCTCTTGAGGTAGAATATATATATATTTTTTTTTTAATTATTTGTTTGCGAGACATTTTATTCATATTGAGTAGCTTAAATACAGACTGTGTTAAAAATAATTAATTTGGTCAAAAACGTTGTGTAATGTGATCCAAGTTTATGCTGTCTTGAAACTGGAAAATAGTTAAAAGTATGTAGCAGTTATGTATGTGATAAAATATTAACTTGCGATAAAAATTAAAATTTATTATTTTTTTGAAAATAGGAATGTAACCTTTCAAAAACATTGGAAATATCCCTTAGATCTCTCCAGATCTTTGAAAATTTACATTTTGCATCTTTAATAACGTAACTTTTCCCACTTTTTTTAAATAGTCTGTCATTTAGCTTTATGCTGTGAAAAATTGGTTATGCAACATTTTTAGATGGCTCCTGTGTGCATTCATAATATTCCAAATACTGGAGTTACAAATTTATATCTTGCAACCAACTATTCCAATTCTTAAGCTATTAACTACCAAGGATCCTTAAAATTAATAAAAATCCTAATTCTTATACCATTTGGGGAGTTGTTAATTTTGGTATTTTTATTTCATTGAACAAATATGTAGCAAATATTTTTTTTTTTTTCTGATGCATATTGTATTGTCAGTTGTTTAATGAATGCAGTGTGAGTTTTTTTGGGGGGGATCGGAAGGGAGAAATCATTTCTTTAAGACTAATACATTTCTTTAAAGTATTGGTAAATTTTTCAAACGAATATAAGTCAATTTTGGTACAAAAGATTTTAATTTTGAAATAAAAGAGCAACATGAGAATTGTTGATTTAAGTCAAATGAATGTTTCTTGAGCCATTTAAATACCATAGGAAAAAAATATTCACGTTTTTTAAAAATATGATAGATTCATGTTTCTATGAACTATTAGGTTGGTTCTGAAAAAATCTGGTTTCTTTTCATTTCATTATTTACGAACATTTTTGTCATTTCTAACGAGTTCATAAAATCAAGAATCATATTGTACACTCTTTTTCCTTCAAATGCTATTTTATGACTATGTTATTTTGTAAATTTTATCAACTATACATCATTTAAAATTTATGTAAACTTCTACTTGACTTCTCCCCTCCGTATTATATTGCCTTATTCTTCATTCAGTAATGTTCTTGTGCTGTTAAAAGATAATTCCGGTCTTTGTAAATTTGTTTCATATTCTTCATTCATTAAAGTCTTTATGTTACTTCAAAAGGATAAGTCTGCTCGTAGTACATTTACTTCCAAGTTTCTGAATGATGTGTTTTTAGAAAAAAGGTCTTCATGTTATCTGACATTTTATTTGTATCAGTTTAGCGAAAGTATTGGGGGGGGACAAACATTTTAGTGAATTATTTGAAAACCATAAATTCATATATCTTTGTTGTATTTACAT